TGATGTGTATTATAACAGGGTTCAAATCACAGGCCATGCTACTGTCGCGCATGTTCTACTTCATTGAGTCTGGCAAAGTGCAAAACCCAATTTATTCTCCTGAACAGGCACCCTTAGGGACATCCAACAAGGATTTCTTGCAGGAATATGTTGCGAATCTCCTACAAAACGCCTTCAAGAATCTCCAGGAGTACGTTCTACCCAATCATGAGGAGCATATGAGTCGAAGGAAACTGAATGATTGGCTAATGTCTTCCAGAATCCAAATTAAACAGTTTGTCGTTGGCTTGTTTGCATTCAATGACGACTTTAACAAGTTCAAGACGCATCTGCGTGATTTCTTGATATCACTGAAGGAGTTCTCCGGTGATAACGCAGACTTGTATGCGGAAGAAAGGGAGCAAGCCTTGCGGGATGCTAAAGCCGCTGAACGAGACCGAGCAATGAGGGTAGGTGGTCTTTTGAAGCCATCCGAAATGGACCAAGAGGATGAGCTATGACTGGACAAGGAACTGCGTTCCGAAGTTGCGCTATCAACTGCCGATACCACAGAGCATGGCAATGATCCCAGGTCTTTATCGGCGAGTGACTGGTTTGATGGCTGGTCATGTTATGGACTCTAAGTTTGAACTAATTGCCATTTAACGAACAAGAAATTATCAGTGCGTATTGGGGTTTCTTTCATCATATGGTCCTCATGTAAAGTCAGTCTTGGTGCTTCCAGAGCGCAGCGCGATATTCCTCCGCTCCTTTCTTTGTGCCTTCCCTCATCAATCAATTTGCAGTGACAACATATATGAAGCTTTCCATCCAACGGAAGTAATAAGAAGATAGAAAAAGACCAATAGCCTGTTCAAAGGTAGCCAGGCGCTGCGGTGACAAGGTCGTAGAGACTCCAAAAGGGAGCAAGTAATGGAACGTAGATATATTCTCTCGGAGGTGGCCATTGAACTACAAAGAGGTCATTCTACTTATGCAGTAGTCTAGTAATGTCCGGAACAAGCATTCATTACTCTACACTCATGAATAATTGTTGTGCAAGTAAACCCCGACGTCTATCAGTAGTTGAGCGCGTACCAGAAGCGAAAAGGCGGTGTGAAGCCGTCCTCTTGCTGTGATGCATCTTCGTCAGAAGCAAACTCCATTTATCTGAACGCTCTAATGGTCCAAGTGACATTTTAGCCCCCGCGATAATAACTCTTGTCCCATAACAGCATCGGGACGCCTCTCTGTCTCCGGAGTTGCGTCAATATTGAATTTTATGACCATGTCTCGGACTCGCCAAATACCGTCTGAGCCAGCAAGTAGTTCTCAACTGGAATTGACAGAGGGGCATACCAGCACTTCGTCAGCTATTCCAGGTCCAGCAACTCTGAGGTTAAGAGCAGCAGATGAGCCTGCTGTTAATCGGCCCGAAATGAATGAGGGCACCTCCCGACGTATACGCTGGAGTGAAGATGTCATAGATAACGAAGGAATGGGAAAAAAGAGTTCCAAAGGTAATCTTTCCCTAGCCAGCGGATTTTACGAAACTGTGCTCACATATGGCAGTATGCTGCATCTATCACAAAAGCCGACCTATTGGCGATAGTAGCTCCGAATCCGAATCCTCGGACTCCAGTACTTCTAATTCGGACACAGATAGCGACGGCGAAGCGGCCTGCCATAGAAGGACGGGACGCCGCCCGCCTACAGTGCAGGGAGAAGACTATGCTTCTTCTGGTCAGAGGCCTCCGTCGAACAGAGAAGGAAGAACCTGCCGATCAAGTCACCGTACGAGGAAAACGAAACGAAAACCAAGCCCAAATGCCTATGAGAAAATGCCAAAGACTACAAAGGGCCGTTAACATGTTCGAGATCTTTCGCAGACTAACGCTGTGATTCATCCTCAGTATCCAGCAGTTAGGGTCTTCCATAATAGTGTTTGTTATATGCCATGAGTGGAAACATCTTAATCAAATGCAATGCGATAACGACGTCAATTGATACGCCCCATCAAATTTGCATCCTCAGTATCGTCTAAATGAAAACCTATACTGACTATCGAGGTCAGCCTTCTCTTACCTGTCCCCTGATCGTCCTTGGATAGCACGGTTGTCTCATAGTACTTCCTCTAGCATGACCTTTAAAGACGGGTTTGACCAGGTTATCTATTTATCTATACAATACACGTAAATATTAATGGACGGTTGAAGATGGTACAGGACATCAGACTTATTTCAGAAGGCTTGCTGGGACTTGAACAGAACTAAAAAGCGAATAGAGGGAAGAAATGGATGAAGTGACAATCAAAGAAAGAAGTGGTAATGCTGTGATTATAGGGGGCGAGCCGATTGTAGACTCTGCTCATCAACAACTATGAATGAAGTATATTTCACAGCATCATGCTTTTTCTTCTAGCCATAGCAGCCGCGGCACGTTGCCCGCGCTTAGTCCGCCCCGAATCGGCCAGCTTCGAAGTAGACAAGTCTGCTCCAGTACTCGCTTCTGGCTGCTGTGTAGGAAGGCTCGGTTTGACGAATTCTTCAAAGGATTTTGTCGAGTATGAATTACCTGCACGGGCCTCCGATGGAGAGATATCTCGGCTTTCTATGCCTATATAGCCGTTGTTTGCTGGTTGAATTTCACCTTTTCTGGATGATTCGGGCTGCGAGGAATGCCGTCTAGAATTCCGAGCTGTAGCAGGTCTGGCCTTGCACCCAATAGGGGGAACGCTCCTCGTAACATCATTACCAACCATCTGCGACGGCTGCGTGTGACAATTGCCTTCTTCGGCCATTACTTCGTCGACTTTACTCCCAGCCACCCAGTGATGAGGATATGCCCCTGTAGACTCGGAAATGCCTTCGGGTGCCATATTGCACTTGCTTGCCGGAGAAGTCTTCCGTTTCCTCTGAGACACCGAGTTCATTTGCTGGGTGGATGAATCTGCTGCTGCCTCTGTCGCCGGTAATCTGGGTTCTTTGCCTGAAGAATCCGAGTTTCGCGGTCTTCGACCATTAGATCGCCCATTCTTGCGCACGTCCTCATCCTCGTTCGAATCCAGCCGTGTAGTGAGGGAGCTAGAGCTTCGTCTCGGGTGATCGCCAACTGCTGCTATTAATTCCTTCGTAGGTCGCCTCATCTTGTCTCGTAAATTTGGCTCCGCATAGCTCACAATGGCTCTCTGACGCCTGGCAGGCCTCGTTGGGCCAGACACCTCAGGCAAATTCCTTGGTCCGCTCTCAATTTCTGGTAGCGTCGACGACCGCGTATTGGGCTGGGCTTTAACCATAGTATTTTCGCTATATTTCTCTTCATCTGTGGACTGATAGATTCGACACTGTCCATGCGTCAATTCTTGCCTCGACTGCTCGAGATCCGTGCTTTTTTTGGGGGGTGTTGGGGACAGCCCAACTTGCCCATCCTTTTCGTCAACGGAGGATAATGTGTCTTTCTGGTGCTTCTCTTGCACCATTGTATTATGTGCTTTCGTTGGGCTGGTCACATTCATGTTCGTGCTTCCTACATCCTCATTAGCTGATCAAATCTCAGTATTGCGGTGGCACGGCACGGCACATACTATGCTCCAATGCTTTCCGTTTTGCCAACCTGTGACTTATTGCCTCTTCTGTCAAAAGCGATGCCTTCCCTTTTGATGGGCTATCATCAGCCTCTGAAGACAGCGGCTGCTCGTTGTTGCCCGCCGGTGATGGTGACTGCATGCTTGTCCGTGGAAGGTCGGACTTTTTCGCTAACGGCTCTATTGTGTCTTCGTGATGCACCGAAAATTTGCGCTTGGTTCCCAGGCCGGAGATAGCCCCAGGGATATTTCGTGTCGAGGTTGCCCCGTGATCCATGCTAGGGCTTTCCATTTGCTTTGATGCTAAGTTGGGCCTTTTTCTTTTCCTGGTTTCAAGCGTTGGGGGCAAAACTGCCTCGTCCTCGTCCGATATGTGCTCGTCGTGACTTGGTTCCTGCTGCGCATTCATCATATCGGAAGAATCATTCGTAGAGGAGCTGTCGTCCGCTGTGTCTGGCTGCGTGGCTACAGGTTCTTCCGGAGTGGGGGATCGCAGATTATCGGCAGTGTTATATCGAATATTTTGCAGCTCTTGCGGCCTGTTTATGGTAAGCGTCGAAGACTTAAGGCTCGGGGTTCCGTTTCCTTACTCTAATGTTCTTCTGGGGTAGTATTTGTCTTCCAGGATGACAGGAAGCCTTCCGTCTTCGCCTGTCCCATGATTAAGCTCATCATCACTAGTCTTCGATTTCCAATCCGGCAGTGCCCGATGTTGGCTCGAATCTCGAGGATTCTCTGCACGTTTGCTGTAGAACGTGCGCGGAAGTGCGCCAAGGTCAGCCACCAGGTTGTTCAGTTCCGCCAACTTGCTGTCTAGTCTCGTCTTAATGTCGTAAACACCATGCTGGAGTAGCCGGACAGCCTCAAATCTCTCTAGCTCCTGACTAAGACTTATTACTTGCTCCCGAAGCGAGACATTTTCTGAGAGGAGATGAGAAACTTCAGATTCCAGGCTGCGAATGCGGAGGGACTGTATCGAGTTTACTCGGGCGATTTCACGATTCTGTCGCACAAACCGTCGTTTTACTGATGTGGCGCTAGAGTCAGCTTCAGTAGATTCCCAACGGGGAGGGGTTGCGGTGCTTACAGGCCTCTATGTGCTCTGTTGGAGCTGACGCTTCATTTAAGCGAGCCATACCCGGCATAAGGAGGCAAGACTGCGGGCAATTCCTCTAGGCAGTCAATCACCCAGAGACCAGGTATACTAGAAGTAGTAAAGGCAGCCAGCATCCACACTTATTCGGTATTGTAGATAGTATCTCGCCTCCTTATCCGAATTAACCGGTGAGTAAACCAGAGTGGGTGGATGTGGCCCCGTGATAGTTGACGAACGCGGGTATGGTTGTTGACAAATGCCCTTATCGGGACTAGTGTGATTGCTGTCGGTCTGCGACCGCTCAAATGGTGCATCATAATAATGATAGAAGCTAGTCGCAATAATTTATTCAGATTTTCAGTTTTCCATCTAGCAGCAGCTCCCTTTAGAAATCGACATTCTCGTGTAATAAAGCTCTTCACTAAATCTACGAGCCACAACTGCAGTCATACCAACTAGCGTGCAGTCTGTGCAGCCTGCGTCTTTCACTGTTCACTATCCGTTGATATACCCCGCCTCTATTGACTTCAGGGAGGGTCAGACATCTCCAAAACGCGGCCAGTACCAACAATTCTTCTACATCATGGCATACATGCCTCGTACTGCTTCCATGTTCCCTCCCGGATCCTCGGCCACATCCTCGTTCCGCCAGCCAAACCAACAATCTACAACAATCTCACAGCAACAGTCTTCGGTCCTAGCAACCCGCATTGCAGCAAAAAGGGCTGAGCTGGACAATCTGAGGCAGCTTCGTGATATGAGTGCAGCACTGGCCTCGCAGATGCAGGCTTTGCAGGACAAGCTTGGGACCCTCAAGGATGGCACAGAAGGTTTGTCCACTCAAAATATCATGGTGGAATATGTCCTGATTGACTTTCGTGTTGGCTGTAGCTGTCGCTTGTGTCCTTGCAAACTGGGATAATGTACTGCGGGCCATCAGCATGGCCTCGAGTAAGTTTTCTCTCTGATGAAGATTTGCTCTCAAACGATGCTGATCAACCAAAAAGCGAAAGCCGCGAACTTGAACTCACCGATGGAACACACGCCAGATTCCACTACCAAAAGACTTCCAAATGGCTCACCTATGCCTGCTACTCTGGTACGAATCCCCGTTTCAAAGCAGGAAGAGCCTCCTAGCCAGTGAATCACTGTGTACGAAATACAGGCTCTTGGCTTGGGTCATGCATATTATGCGTCCACAAACGTCCTTTGGTAGGTAACCCGGTGCCTGTGGACTGGGTCAGATGTCATTGGCTTAGCAGGTGAGCTATCATCTGCATGGTCGAGTATAGCAACGGGATCCACAGGAGAATCATCTACAAAGAGGCCGGGATCTCGCCGACATGGAATCACAGACTACGAGCTGGACATCGTGGATATTCTTGGTCATCTCTAGCATTGTCTGAAGCGATGGTATTGGATGCAGAGAGTTCCAGTTGTTTGTGGTAGCGGGCATCTGGAGCAGGATGGGGGGGGGGTCGCTTTCTGGTTGCAAATTGAGCCTCTCCTGGGACTGTTGGAATATCACGTAGGGGAACGGTTCCTGGGGATAGGTTATTTTGCCTGAAGAGGTATTTGTCCGTCAGGTCTGATCTGACAGTGGATAGTTAGGGATAGACCGCATATCAAGGGTCGATGCGGTGATTATTTCTCGCATACTCCATGCCAGTTTATATTTCCGCCGTGACTGTTTCCTCTTCTGAGTGATAGGCAAGGGCTCTCTCCTTGACGCATGGGTACGTACGGGTTAAAATATAGAGAATTAGAAGGGCTTTGTCAATCAGTCTGTCGCCAGACATGGCTTTCAGTGGGCTACCTACATCGATGCCCGGTAGTTTGCTGGGAATCGCGCATGCGTTGTCGAGCTCGATTTCATAAAAAGATGTCAACCATCTGGTCTCGGTAGAAGACAAGTCCGTTATCTCTCCGTCAGCCTACCGTTGAGACTGTTGTTATGTTCAGCTTATATCTGGCATGATGCGGGTTGGTTCATTAGAGGTATGCGAAGCCAAACAACATCAAAATCATTTTGGAGGATTTGGTCTTGTAAATCTCGTTGTCCTTCGAATTATACCTGCTCAGAGAACTTCGTTACCGCGTAGGAACGGTGGTATAGCATATTACTTTGAGGGTTTCCTACTGCTGTTGGACTAAGTCAGTGTACTTTGCAGTTTGGATGCGAATTCCAGTGCGCTCTATGAGAGAGAGAGAGAAATAAAAATAGAGCAAAAATGGAGTTGCGGGGAATCGAACCCCGGACCTCTCCCATGCTAAGGGAATATTATACCACTAAACCACAACCCCATATTGGTTGTTTGCGGAATGAATTTAAGCACTGTATGCTGTTGTTTAATTCTAAGTGTTGCTGAGATGTTCGGGCTAAAGCAGGTACTGTGGGGGTTGTGCTGCGGGTTATGTTTTAGTCGGTGCTTTGGCCCTCCGAAAGACAATCAATATATGCATGTGTCACGAAGGATTGGGCCTGAACACTTTCTTGAAGCTCTCATTGATGTGTAGGACTCTTGCTGTGGGCGACCATTGCTTTATTGCAGGCTCGAGAACAATACGCTGGCAGTCCCTTGTCTGCGATTACCAAGTGGAGTCTACCAGCTTCCCAGCGTGTGAACAGCAATACCTGGTACTTGCGTCGGCTCCTCTGCTAGGTTGCATGTGGGCATGATATCTAGAAATAGGGGTTTTTCTCGGTACCATGGTAAACTTTTCTCCCATTTGAAGGGGGATGGGCGGTATGATATGGTAACTCGTATCGTTCACTGTTGACACACGTATATATATATATATATATCTACCATGGCCGTGCCAGTAAGTTATCGCCGACCAAACATCATTTTGATGTCACCCCAAACCAACATTCCCAGAACCCGCCCCCCCGTGCGCGTGAGTAGTAGACGACCCCAGTTACTGCAAACAAGCCGATCATACGGCCATCCAATGGAAAGCCCGGACCTCGAGCCCAGGAGCTTGGGACGCGTATCATGTATAAATTCATATAGGTAGACCTACTACAGGTCGTCAAAGAGAGGTACCTGATCCTACCACATACACATGACTCTGCCAGCCAGAACTAAGTGGAGTGAATGTATAAAGGGAATTGATAAGGTAGTTCTTGATTCCTAACGGTTAATTGTTTGTATACCCAACTGGCCACTTCCCGGAAACCATAGGAAACCGTGGCAGGAGACTGTACCATAAGATATCGCCTGGTTTATCACATACGTGACAAGGTAGTTGATGGATGTTACTGATAGCAACCGAGACCATCCACGTGTCTGGGGTTGGGTTGGGCTAAGCTTTGGAAGAATATATATCGATATCAGTGATATACCGCGATAGGTATAGGTTTGCTGGATTATATAGCCTTGAGTTTTACAAAGTATACTATAAAGGGGTTGTGGTTTAGTGGTATAATATTCCCTTAGCATGGGAGAGGTCCGGGGTTCGATTCCCCGCAACTCCATTTTTTGGTATTTTTCGTTATGTTTTTTTTTTTTTTGGTGTTCCGTAAGAATGCGGTATACGCGTTGAATGATGTATGCACTGAGCATGTATATGGAAGGAAAGGAAACAGCCTAGCTAAGGTGATTATAATCATTGCAGCAATGTTGCATAATTTCTGCAGCAAACAAAAGTACATCATATAGGCAAAGTAGCGCTTGAGTGTGTATAAGATGGGGCTGTGGTTTAGTGGTATAATATTCCCTTAGCATGGGAGAGGTCCGGGGTTCGATTCCCCGCAGCTCCATTTTTGCTCTATTCTTTTTTTTTTTTTCCCGCGTCAATCGATCGACAATGGGAATGTCACTTTCCATGTATAGACACATACACACGCCCTCTTAAGTCTTCAACACTAGATGAAATCTCGGATGAAGGCACTGGGATGATACTTCGTAGACACTAAGCCCACACTCGTGTGTTCCTACACATCCATTGGGACTCAAGACCCATTAGATACAAGTTGCTATTGGTGTCTTAATTGTAACTATCCATCGCCTGGCTCTAGGGTACAGTCCCTGGTCACCGGTTTACTAAATTATCAGTCACGTATAGAATAGGCAACCTCTATACCCTGGCTAATATTAGGAAACAGCTTAACAATAGGATACCAACCAGTACACCTGCTGCTTGGATGTTTCAAGTTGGTCAGGACTGATTTAATAAACACGACATCTTCATACTTGGCATTGCCATGCCATCTGATGTACTCTTTAGATTTGCGATGTGATCGAAAGACATCGTGTTGGCTGGACCGAGGGAAAAAGGGGTGACTAAGAGGCTGCGTCGCAGGACATTCCAGCTCGTCCTCACACGGGCAAACTACGGGGTAGTAGGTTCGACGCCTGCTGCTGCCATGTGCAGAGCCTCTGTACGCAGTGGGCGGGTAGGGCGGAGAAGGCTAGAAATGATGTTGTGTCTGCAATTGTATGGATTTGACTCCCTGCTGTCACGCCAAGACACACACTGTCGGCATAACATATCTCACGTAGCCTACTGTTTACAGGTAAAGCAGTATAGCTACTCCTATGCCTTGACATACGCGGGCCGACTCATTGCTGCTGACAATCCCAGCAAGATCCTATGGGTGTATATACGAGTGAAATCAGTAAGTACCATCACGGAGAAATACTGATTAGTTACTGTACAGCAAGGATAACCGTGGGAGGAGCTGCTGACCTTGTGAGCATGACCACCACCATAGTGACCCCGAAGGAATGTATTATCCGATGGTCCAACCATAAGTGCCGTTTGGTGTAGATTGACCAGTGACTACAGCAGGTGCTCGAATTAGAATGCGCTGGGGCCACCAGCAGCCGTGCAGGTAAAAGCCAACTAGGCCAAGATAGGCAATAGACTACTGCAACTATGTAGGAAGGGATGGGGCAAAAGATTAGCCACCGGTCACCCCCCCTCTTTTTACTCCACTTAGACTGCCTTAAACATGACAAAAGATAATAAGAATAAGAATAATAATAATAACTATAAGAAAAGGCAGGTATCGTACCGGGTACCTGGAGAGTCGATAAATACTCAATACTTACATTGTTACAGTAACAGCAGCAGTAACAGCAGCGGTAATCAAGTTATTAGAGTAACTTGCGTACATTGATTATTTACACTGTGGTACAGTGGTGAGTGGCACATACTAGTTAGTACTTACGATACACCAGAGACTTTCAGAGAGACCACTTACCATATACATCATGGGTATTGTCCCGTAAGTCCCTGGACAAACCCAAACACTTTCAGAAGTATGGGCTAGACCTGAACAATGCTCCATACTAGCTCAATGTAGGTATGCTCTATTGGGGATAAGTTTTGGGTACAGACAGACTAGTATTGGCAATCTACCCGTGAACCCTACAACACCAGCCTCCTGGAGATTGGGCCATGCTCCCCCCTCTTTCCCCTAAAGGGGCTGTGTGCATGTCACTGGCGTCTTTGGGGCATTTAGCTACCCATATTTATATATAAGATACTTATATGTAAAGCCCTTGCCCTCCTCCCCCCCAATAGTCCGCCGTCATTTGCATCTGACTTGTCCCTGTGCGGACTGGGTGACCTGGAGGCTATGCTACACACTGGATGAAGAACCTGTTCCGTATCCCTTCCCATTCCATCACAACAACAACAACAACAATAACCCTTCCATACACCTCAGATATCTCATCAGTTGTCATCTGACATAGATCTGGATCCACCGGCTTGATCTACCCTCACGTCCTTGGGTAGATCCCTTTGCTAGTGGGGAGGCCTTGCGTGACCCTCCTGCTTCGCAAGAATGAGACCGAAGTGGATTATTATGGTGTGATGGCCTTAACCTTTTCATATATAATGAACCTCCACACCATTTACCATCACATCTGCTAGCTCTTCTCACGCTCTTCCCCCACTCGCACAGGAAGTCATTGCTAACTTGGAAAAAAAAGGGTTATCAGCAGTAGTAACCATTCTCATTCACGGAATAAGAGGCCGACTAGCAACCCTCAAATATCGCTATCCGAAGCGCATTCGATTATCCCATATTTGGTGACATATCATCGGGACAACAGTCCCTAGTCCTGCATTGATACTCCACAGCCCGTATATACAAAGTTTTTCCACCTTGTCCCCAACGCCATCCCCTTCTGTTGCCTCTTTGTGAGGACCAGCCAATATGGCAACTGAATGGTCGCTTGACTTCTGCCTTGCTTGTGACCGTCAGACCCTAGGGGAACCATATTGCTCCCAAGCCTGCAGGCTGGCTGAGCTAGATACCGTCTCGAAGGAGGCGACAGCACCTCATGCGATCGTGTGTCCACAGCCAACTAGGGCCCCCAGCCAAGCTGGGCGTTCTGTGACCAGCTCTTTCGCAACCATGGGAACGGCGCCGGCGGGATCACCTGGTTCCCAATACCCCAAAAGGGTACTATCGTCATCTTCTTCGCAGACATCACTGTCGTCGGTCAAGAGCAGCTCATCACGGTCCTTCGTGGTAGCAAGTCAATTTAAAAACGAGTTACGGGATTATGCGTGCAGCTTCGACCACGTCCGTGACTTGAAAAGACGTTTCGCATCTTAGCGCCGTCTGATTACAGCCCTCATAGACATCTATTTCCGAGATCTATTCTCCATGAGCACCTTTGTATCGAGACATTGGTGGCTATTGTGGAAAAATACCACGGACCCCTCGCACTTCAGCAGCCCAATCCAGTATCACCTCCCATTCCCAAGAGAACCGTTCATTGGTTGTCATATCTCCTTTACTACAAGAGCTATATACCCAGCATCAATTATACCATCAGGCCATTCTGGGCAACATGAATACCCAGAGAAGCCTGCAGTGTGGCACTAGGCATGAGGGATCACAGATCAGTCAGGCATTAAAGGGAAGGGAAGGTAGTGGGAGAGGGGATAAGCAATGAGGGGCAAGGGGAGGGATGGGCCGGAGGAAGAAAGTACATAGGGGAGACTGTCATGGAAAGCAAGTGGGACAAGAAATGAAAATAATACATTAGCATCAAGGTGCCGATCCGCGGCAGATCGGAGCAGAAGCCCGGTTTTATGCCTTCAATTGCAATCATTGTAAGCTGTCATCGCACTTGTATGGCGACGACATCAAGCATAATCTGCGATACCTCCAACAGTAGTATTGCTAAGCTACAATCCTACATGGTCCACAACCAGGAGGGTTTGAAGAAAGTGCCCGGACATAGGGGATCGCTATAGAATAATCAAGCCCGACTGATGTTCCTAGCATCTCCACTGAGGTGAGCATTCTCCCCTTCATAGTGTACTGATGTTCAGAGACACAGGCTAATTACTATACCCAGCTTCCGTCCAGTATAAAAAATATACACAACATCAGTTCTTCGCTTCACCCTCCCAATACAAACCGTAAGTCAGATTTGCCAATCACCGACCCAGTGCTGTCGCGAGTGCCTTTTCATCTCTTGGAACGAATCGAACCTTATACTTTTGTGGGATTGCCACGAGACTTGTAGGGTCTGAATTGCCCCGAACAGGATGCCAGTCAGTCTCACCAAGTGGCTCGATTCGGAAACCATTTAGTGTGCGCATGAAGACAAGATAGAGTTCACGATTCGCGAGTAGTGAGCCAGCGCACATGCGATAGCCCATGCCATAGGTGAAAAGAGGAGCGTCTGGTTGCTCGAGCCATCTTTCTGGCCGAAACTCCTCGGGGTCGCTCCAGACTTCGGGGTCTACGCGATGATGCATTAGCCAATAATTGCAAGGTATTACGATCTTTCATCGAGCGACAACTTACCCATGTTGCAGGCCCAGGAGTTCAAGAAGAATACGGTGCCCTTAGGGATCACTATTCCATTGTACACCACATCTCTAATCGACGTCCGGGGAAGCGCGAGACGAAGGACTGTGAAATACCTGTATATCACCACTTAGCGCACCGGAACTCTGAGCTTGGGGTCCATTTCTCAGGCTGTACCTTAGGCATTCTCTAACCAGGGCTGCAACGTAGGCACATCTCTGATCATCCATGGGATCGCACAAGGGTTGGTCATGCCCGTACATATCTTGTATCGCGTTTGCGGCCTTCTCCTGGATATCAGGCCGCTGGGAAAGAAGGCCAATACTCCAAGCCACAAGGGTCGTGACTGTGTCGAGACCTCCAGAAAGCATGGTCAAGCTGATTGATATGAGCTCTTCGGAGTTTAGTTTCGCCTCTTTGTCGAGAATAACGTTCGCCTGGATGCATGGTTTATGAATGCCTTTCTCCATGCGGTCATCCAAGTCTCGGTTTAGAGCGGTGAGATACCGATCACGTCGATCTCTCATTTCTTTGGCAACCTTTGAGTTGCTATTGAAGGGGTTTAGTCGTAAAAGAGGAATGTAGTCCTGCAGGTTGCCAGTGGTGCTTCTGAACTTGCTGATCTCTTCCTCGACGTGGGTAATCTCGGCAAATAGGTCTTCTTCTTGGGAGGCCACACGTACCCCCCAATTGAGGGTCAAGGACAAACTCAAGCTTAGACGCTGGATCATCGGCATAGGATCCACTGGTTTTTCGCCACCATTTCCATAAGTGTAGAGCTCATCCACGAAAGATCTGGACTCGACATCTAGGTGCGAGATGTATGATTCCACAGAAGGGCGATTGAGGGCTGAAGCGGCACCTTTTCTGCGTCTCTTAAGTGACTCACTATATGGGGAAGTCCCGATTGTTGTGCCAGCAGTATTTGATACAATCTGATGCAATATTGTGAGCTATAACCCACTGACAAAGGAAAGAAATGAAGGCAATAATAGAGAAAGCCTAGGGAAGCATGCTGCCTGGAGCTTACCTTGTGGAAAGTATAGAATTCCGGTCTTGAGCTTAGAGCTTGTGCATTGTGTCCAAAAAGAACTTTTGCCGCCGCCGCCGAATTCACGACAACAACTGGGATATTTCCCAGCTGGATTTGATAAACGGGCCCGTGCGTTTTAGACCATATGCGATATTGTTCAGCGGCATTTTTTCGGATCTGCGCCAGGTTTCCAATCAGAGGAAGACCACGGGGGCCCTTAAGACCAGGTACTCGAGCGGAAGCTCGAATAAATTCGTTAATGATGATATAGACAACCGGGACAATGAAGGCGGTTGCGGCCAATGACTGCAACGGAGATTCGAGAATGCTTTGCTGCAGGAATGAAAGAACTGCTGCGATGGCCATGATGGGCGAACTGTGTTTCTTGCTTGGTGATATAGTATTCAAGTAGATAGGGAAGATGTTAAGCTGGCGCTGGGCAAGTCGACTGAATATAACACAGCATCATATGCCCTGGTGCACATGTAAGACATCCCGGAGTCGCCATCCCTCCCCTCTCGCAGGAAGGAACATTTCCGTCACCAGGAAGTGAGGGATATTGCTAGCTTACTTAGTTTTACCCCAGGTTCCACTGTCCAAAAACCCGGGGGGGGTGGGGTTCGATCATAGTTGGTAACTCAGGCAGAGAGGGAGTGGAAGCAACCGAGAAGATTCCGCAGCCGGAACGTTTCCGCTTCTCAAGGTCAATACTGTCGATATACTCTAAATCCCTTGGGACAAGGACCTCGGTTGCTGCCATGGTAATGTAGGCATAGATCTGGCTTTCCTTTTTACCAATTGCGGTAGATAGTTAGTTAATACGTAGCTTTGATATCGGAGGTTGGCCGGGATTATACTTGTCCATATAAAGCAGAATGTACGGACAGTGTTTCAATTGAATATACTACTTCTTATCAATTGTAGGTATGAGGATATGAGTTAGTATTTTTTTTCTCTTACTTCTTCCCTCACCCTCACCCCTTTCTTTACTTTTCCTTTTCTACTCTCATTGGCTGCCCCCTTCTTTAATGCTCACATCTGTTTGCCTTTGCCTTAATCTCCATAATAATTGGAAAAAAATCCTTTTTTTTTTTTTTTTTTTTTCTCTTCTTTATTTTTTCTTCTACAACATTTTAACGGTGTATTCTTTTGATAAGCAACATCATCTTGTATAATGCTAAGAAGGAAGAAGGAAATGATAGAGAAAAATGGGAAGAGTATAGGTTGATATGAGTGCTTCACAGAAGAAAGGAGAAACTTAACAGGATTACCGGATGATTGATGGTGTGGCTTTAACTAAGTACGGAGTTGCTACTGACCGATGAAGGAGGGACAGGGTCTATTGAAGACTAGACTGCATGAGTACCCTTGGCAGCGGGAGTTATTTGCGGAGACAAAAATAAATGCAGTGGGTGTGAGATATCTAGTAGTCTACTACTTACTAGTCTATTTACTTTCTACTTATGCACAGACAAATGCGACGGCCTTTGACCCACTCTCCAAGCCGATCGGGAACATCAGGTGGATGTTTGGGTTGCTACCCTGGCTGACCGGTCGCATTGGATCACTGCGCGCTCCATTAAAAGAATTGGAAGAGGGGTAGCGGAGCGGAGGATTCTATCATGATCGACACGAAAAGCTGGATGGAAGGACAAGACACAAGTCAAGCGAACTTGATCTAGTCGGGTACGGAGTTTAGACACCGTCAAGTCCTGGGAAGGTTGACGTAGGGCGGTGGGACTCGCACTTGCATAGCAGGTGAAATATATCTACAACCCCCAACCAAGAAATTGAGTCCCGCTTGCTTCCATGGAAAAAGTGAGGGAAGCGCATTCATCTCCAAGGTGCCTGCCTGCCTACTAACCCGAGGGCATCCACCAAATTATTAGGGATTACGCCATTCAGGTGGGGAGTGTGTGACCACGGCGACGCTACTAATCTATGGCCACTTGTCCACAGTACATCAATCCAAAGAGTATACTTGATTATATAATACTTCAAGGTCACTACAAAGGTCTTGAGATAATTATCAAAGTATGTTATGAGTATATGTATTATGTACAGTATGTATTCAGTTCTATTCCCGCTCAGGGTCTGGGCTGGGCTGGGCAAGTGGAGAAAATGAACCCCGACAAACAAGGACACTCGACCCTTTACTTGTCGACTGCTGTACTTAAGACAATGATGAATGATCATGATATTCACTCCTTCACTCCCCCTTCCTGTCTTAGTATTGTAGAAAGCATCGCATAAACAAAATCATTGTATAGATAATAAGCCAACTGAGCAGTAACCACGACCAAATTTTATATGCATTGATATTATCCATCCCACATAATTCCGGTTTGCAGTACGAAGCAATAACTGGCAGGTAGTATGTATATATGCTGTTCTGTTATGTGGCACCTACTGTATGTATCGTACACATTTAAGCGTTGAGATCCAACTAGGGATGATCATTGTGCCAGACAGAAGGCTTTAGACAGGTCTAGGTATCCTAGAATAGACGAAAGATCCGCAATGAAAACGTGGATAGGTCGCGTGATTTCCAAAAACACTAGTTTGACTTACCTAGATAGGTAGTCCGCACTGCGAATGATTGTACTAATCCTGATCCCCCCGTTCCCAAGTAGGTGCTCCATTAGTAACCCCAGGCCAATTCCTTTCTTCTTTTGTATTCCTTTCATTTCTCTTTTTTACATCTCAAAAAGAGTATTCATTATATATATCGTTCTGTGCAATAAGTGAATTAATAAGAAATGGATAAATGATCTAAAATAAATCTAAACGAATCAATTGATAGCTACTCCGCCCTCCACAATTCTAGACTATGGAGAAGAGGGAAGAAAAAAAGGGGAGTTGTTCAACTAAGGGGAGGGGGGAAGGAGGAGAAAGAAGGAAATAGGAACAAGGTGGATGTTGACAATAGTAAGGACTATCTAGATAGGGTAAAACCTGATAGACCGCGAGTCTGGAAGCCATGAAAAGACCCAAGTGGATCGGTCCCTTTCCCCCCAAGGGAACATTTACAGAAGAGACAAAATCTTTTCTGGTCACATGCGGTTCCGGAGTTCGGGCGCGGCAGGCAAATCAGTGATCAGGCCCATCCACGCCCGGGGCTGCCGAGATGCTGATTGGTGGGACATTCCTGATTGACGCTGCGACACCGTCATAGCGACCCGCCCCCATTATTTTCTCCTTCCAATCCAGCTCCTTCCCGGATTGAGCTCATGACGCAGCCTCCCCCAAATTCCAAAAGGTGGAAGGTTACCCGGCCCTGAATTAGGCCTGTAGAGTATGTAAATACTAATTCATTCCCATTCCTTTCCCCGTACAAGAAACCATTCGAACTTGGCAGCTGATCCGGCATTCCTACATCCCTCGCATCCTTAACCTCGCCCTCTCCTCTCTCTTCTTTACTCTCCTCGTTCCTCACGAAACCCCATTCCCATTCCCCATTCTTCCTCTCGACTCGTACTGGCCCCATTGCCTTCCTCTTCATACGTACGTCAGTATATACGTATAGTACTCTAATTCGTTACTTCCCTCCCCTTCTCCGATTCTACACTTACCACTTTTCCTCGGGCAAGTGTCCCGTGTTTCTCTTTTTTTTTTTTTTTTTTTTTTTTTTTTTTTTATCTCTCTTTTCCTCTCGCCCCCAAATTGACACTCACAAGTCAAACATTTTACGTGGAAGGTATGCCGCCCCAATTCGCCGCCTACCTTGTTGCGTATCGGTTACACCGCAGTTCTCGAGTTCATATTCAGCTGACTTTTGGTGTATGCGCGTGTGTGCAGAGCTTCTTTGAGTATAGAACATACAGCGCGCGTTTCTTATAGGGAATCCACCCTCTAATACCGTCAATCCACCAACTCGCTCTAGCTCACCAGATCCTATTTGTTCTGAACATTCGACCCCCTGGGTACAATGGCCTCCCGCCAGTCTCGTAGGATTCTGCGACCTCTGCTCTATACATCGCTGGCGGCTGCCACAGGAGCCGGAGTTCTCTACATCTCTTACCGTCCCCGCAATATCCCTGGTTCAGAAGCCCCCGCAGTTCCGCCGCCAGGCTACCATGAAGGCAAGCTCGTGCCCCCGAGCTTCCCAAATATCAAATCCCGCCTCGAGCAAATCCAGGACTTAAAGCGCTCTTCCAGTGGAAGCAATTCCGAAGAGTATGATCTGCTTGTCATTGGCGGTGGTGCCACTGGATCGGGAATTGCTCTTGATGCTGCCACACGAGGGTTGAAGGTTGCTATTGTTGAGAGGGACGACTTCAGCGCCGGAACGAGCAGCAAGAGTACAAAACTCGTTCACGGTGGTGTTCGTTACCTGGAAAAGGCTGTTTGGGAGTTGGATTACAACCAGTTAGTTTTTCCCCCGCCCCTCTCCGATCTTTTGTTTGCGTGCCGACCATGATATACTGAATGCCACTCGTTCTACTTTAGGTACAAGCTAGTCAAGGAGGCTCTGAGAGAGCGAAAGTATTTCTTGAACACAGCCCCTCATCTGTCTAGCTGGCTTCCTATCATGGTCCCGCTACAGAAATGGTGGCAGGCGCCCTATTTCTGGGCGGGAACAAAGTTCTATGACTACTTGGCTGGGTCTGAAGGTATCGAGAGCTCCTACTTCCTTACCAAGAGCAAGGCCATCGATGCCTTCCCTATGTTAAGAAAGGACAACCTGTTTGGAGCTATGGTATACTATGGTATGCAGTTTCTTCCCCACCCTACCCCCGTCATTTAGATGATCCCTCGTTAACGGCGCGTGTGCTAGATGGTGCCCACAATGACTCTCGAATGAATGTTTCGCTGGCGATGACAGCTGCGTTATACGGAGCCACTGTTGTCAATCACATGCAAGTTACTGGCCTGGAAAAGGACCCCTCTGGGAAGCTGAACGGCGCTCGTGTCAAAGATCTTATCCCCGGAAGAGATGGACAAGAGACGGAGGAGTTCACGATCAAGGCAAAGGGTATCATAAACGCAACTGGCCCCTTCACCGACTCGATCAGAAAGATGGACGAACCCGGCATCAAGGAGATCGTAGCCCCTAGCTCAGGTGTTCATGTGATCTTACCTGGCTATTACAGCCCTTCAGATATGGGCCTTATTGACCCATCCACGTCGGACGGCCGTGTGATTTTCTTCCTTCCCTGGCAAGGGAACACTATTGCTGGTACAACCGATCAGCCGACTGAGATCACCCCTCAGCCCCAGCCTTCTGAAAAGGATATCAATTGGATCATCTCCGAAGTCCGCAATTACTTGGCTCCAGACATTAATATTGAGCGGAGTGATGTCCTTGCTGCCTGGGCTGGAATTCGCCCGTTGGTGCGTGACCCAAAGGTAAAGAGTTCCGAGGCTCTGGTCCGCAACCATCTCATTACTGTCTCTCCCTCCGGACTCCTGACCTGTGCTGGTGGCAAGTGGACCACTTACCGGCAGATGGCTGAAGAGGCGGTGGATGAGGCCATCGATGTATTCGGCTTGAAGCCTCGCGGTGTCACCGGCGCTCCGGATATCAGTGGTGTTGGCGGCAGTGGCTTGGTCTCCGACGGTGCTGTCCTTGACGGATCTTGCCAAACCCACCAGGTCCGCTTGATTGGTGCTCACGGCTTCTCCAAAACCCTTTTCATCAACCTCATTCAGCATTTCGGACTCGAGGTGGATGTGGCCAAGCATTTAACGGAATCATATGGTGACCGAGCCTGGCAGGTTGCGGCTTTGTCTTCCCCCACAAATGCTCGCTTCCCTGTCCGCGGCCAACGCATCTCCAGGCTATACCCCTTCGTTGATGGCGAAATCAGGTATGCTGTGCGCCACGAATATGCACAGACTGCCACCGATGTCATTGCTCGTAGAACCCGGTTGGCATTTTTGAACGCCGAAGCAGCCCTCGAAGCCCTCCCTAACATCATCGATCTCATGGGTGAGGAGCTCAAGTGGGACAAGAACCGGAAAGAATCTGAATGGAAGGAAAGCGTCCAATTTCTATCTTCTATGGGTCTGCCAAAGGCTTTCCTGAGCATGACGCGAGAGGATGTCGAGGGGGGTAGAGTAAAGGATCTGGATATCGCACAAAGAAAGGCCTTCGCTCGGTCCGGTGAGTAGAACCTGCACTAGAACAGCTCATTCAGGACAGACCTGACTAATGAACTTTTAGATCCCCCAGCGGATGTGCTCAGTAGTGACATCCCCTCGTCAGATTCCAACAAGCTGATACACCCCGAGTCCCCGGCAAACAAATAGAAGTGTCATGAGCTATAGAGTATTGCCTTATGTATAAATATTATCGATGTATTACTTTGATTCCATAATGTATGATGGGTCTGGTTAAAGATTTTCCTCGTGTACTTTCAATCAACCAAAGTGATGACATGTCTCGACTTCTATACCTAAGAATGACGCCGACAGGCAATATTATAATGTATGTACTCGGCTTGCCTTGGAGTAAATGGGATCATATAGTGAGATAATCTGAAACATGTCAGATACGGGAGACATATACCATCTAGGCCTAAGGCTTCAGCTGTGTTATGGTCAAGCCTTGAGCACTCAATGCATATGGTGGTGAACATTTAACAACAGAATGAAACAAATCGGGCAAGTTCATGGATGCGGACTGGTCATGGAAGGAACGCCTGCTCGACAAGGTTATTTTTCTCCAGTTTTCTCAGGGAATGAGCCTCCTCTACCCTAAATTGCAATAGTGATTAAGAGTTCAGACTTCCCGCAACGAAACTACGGTTATTGAACGTTGTTTGAGGCTTTCGCCAGCGTATTACATATTCACCTCTTTGCCTGACAGTTTATACTGCACACTCACTGAATCATGACATGGCACGCTTTTCAGAGGCGTGCCGGGGTTGCGACCTCATGGCCGCGTGAGAATAGCCTAGAATTCTGGAAGACAGAGAGCGACCGTCCTACTAGAATGTCCCAGCCACACACTAACTGTGAGGGGGAGGATCTTTTCGGAGACGAGACCGGGCTGGAGGTGAAGTACAAGACATTGACTTGGTGGTGAGTAGGCTACCGGTCTCTGAGAACTACTAGCCACTAGGAGCTAATTAACCTCCAGGCAGGCTGGAATGAGTGAGTAATCTCGGGTTGAAACATGCATGTTACAACATGAAGTCCTAAAGATACCAGTTATGATAGCAGAGACCATCTCTCTTGGAATCCTGGCTCTCCCCAAAGTGCTAGCTACATTGGGTCTTTTCCCGTACGGTTTCCTTAGCCGGAAAACTAGCCATGATTCCTGCACAAGCTAACTTTCCGCAGTGGAATTGCCGTCATCATTGGCGTCGGGGTGCTGACGACCTACACAGGACTAGTCATTGGGGAGTTCAAGCGTCGCTATGCTCAGACACATACCATGGCTGATGCCGGAAGCATACTGTGGGGAAGGACTGGCTTCGAAATCCTGGGCGCTGCTCAGCTTATCTTCTTCATATTCGTAATGGCTAGCCATATACTGACCTTCTCTATCATGGTGAGCGTTCTCACCGGCTACTCGGGCTGTACAGTTCTATTTTCCGTGGCTGGAGGATTGCTTTCGATCGTCTTCACCATTCCACGACGTCTCGAAAGCCTGTCATTTCTCTCCTCAATCAGCTTTGCTAGTATCCTCGGAGCAGTTTTGGTTAGCATGGTTGGAGCATCTCTCAACAAGCCAAGCCCTATCCAGACATCATTACCGCCTACTTTTCACGACATAGTGGTTGCAATTGCAAACGTTGTATTTGCGTATGCTGGACATGTTGCCTTCTTTGCCTTCTTTTCAGAGCTCCGGGATGTGAAGGACTACCCAAGGGCACTGGCGTTATTGCAAGTGACTGAGGTGACGCTCTACACAGTGACGGCTATTGTACTCTATGTATTGGTTGGAAAGGATATTGCTTCCCCATCCCTCAATTCAGTCAGTCCACTCTTCAAGAAGATAGCATATGGTATTGCAATCCCAACGGTAGGCAGCCCAATCAAAGCCGTGCTCCCTTGTCGTTCAACTGATCGCATAGGTCAGATTGTGATAGCAGGTGTCGTCAACGCCCATGTCGCGGTGAAATCATTATACTTGCGGATGTTTCACGGCAGGAATGCCATGCACTCACGTTCCTTCGGTGCAATATCCCTATGGGTCGCTGTATGCGCGACGCTATGGTTTTTGGCCTGGGTAGTAGGGGAAAGCATACCGGTTTTCAACGATATCTTGGGGCTTACGGTAAGTTTTTGGGACAAATAGGGAAACAAAGAGAAAAAAAAGGTACCCCCTTGGTCACGAAGACAGCTGACCCTTATTCTGCAGAGCTCGTTGTTTGCCAGCTGGTTTACGTTCAGTCTTCCAGGCTTGTTTTGGCTTTACCTCAATGTACCTGGGAGGCCTCTCGGTTGGAAACAGACAATGCTGATAGGCTTCAGTTGCATGAATGTCATCATCGGGCTAGTTGTCGTAAGCTGGACCTACCGTTGTCACTGGCTAACCAACTAACCGGAGTCCAGTGTATAGTTGGGGTGTACTCATCTATCAGATCGATTCAAAGCAATCTCAGTGAAAACGTCGTTCGAAGGAGGTTCTCCTGTGCAGATAATTCATGACTACTGCTTGGGAAACTACATCAATCAGTCACGGCAAGGCCAGAAGCATGCCGCTTTGCATTGAGACAGGACAAGGAAGGTATTGGAAGCCGTGTATCTCATCTATGAAGTGCCGGACTATGAAGGGTAGCGTGGGGCAAGCGTGTAAACATCATTCCAGTCTGCTAGGACAGAGACTAGACTTGTGTGCATGCGATTACCTTTTCACATTACCAAATTCTTACTTTCTTGTGCCTGTTTGCCCCTTTGATCAACATCTATTGTTAGGCCCGGAGGTTCTAGGCGGTGCCTTTGCTGCCTAGCAGTAAGTTGCTCAGGGACTTTCGGCTGGCAAAGCAAGGGTATCCGCACCCATGTACTCGAGATATCCGGTACATACCCATGATTCGTTCTGCGGGGATAGGCGGCTTATTCTCCAACGATTGACGTGGGCGCATAGCAGGTATAAAGGTAGATACTGCTAGACAATATCATAAGCGGGCTCCATAGCACGTATGGTAGGCAGATATTTATAGCTAATTTATCTCGCGCGTGGGGCCCTGGCTACACTACCTATAGCGCCTGAGCCAGTACTACCTGCATTGTTAACAATTAGGAGCGAACACGTACACTAGGTACACTTCGCTTGTATTACCATTCATGTAGCCGCTGAGGATGCAACCACCCACATGTGATACCCAGGTACTACACCCAGCTAGTTGCTGTAGTTGGTAGCCGCTCGGGGCCTACTAGGGCCAGCGAGTAGTAGCTCTTATTCAATCACTCCCGGTACTGCGCGATACTAGTAGGTTGCTAGTAGGTACAATCTACCAAGGTACAGACTAATTTATACTGTTAGCCAGTTAGTACTCCTCGTAAGTAACCGGATCGCGGAAATCCACTGGTGCCCATTCACCCAATAAAAAGGCCTGCGGAACCATGTCTGCGCGGGAGCCCGATTTGGATGCTACCCGGACAGCGGGAGGTTCCTCGATTCATTTGAATTTTATTTTTATTTTTAATTTGATTTGATTTCTTTTGTTCAATTTACCGCCAATTTCTCTGATTCTTTCCCCAGTTGGCCGCTTTCTCCCCCCTCTCCCCGCCCCCACTTACCGGGGGTGGTATAGTGTACAACTATAGTGTGTGGTACTTGACCGGGGGTGGGGGGGGGGGGTTTTGGGGAAGAGGGGGCGGGCGCCAAGGGAAACCCAAAACCCGCCCCAGAGGAGGTCATGGGCTGAATTTGAGTGAGGGAAGGGGAGGGGAAAACCTGGAAGAATCTGGAGGGACCGTCATCATTACCAGTTAAGTAGTTAAGAAGCAACCAATCGTTGCACAGGAATCTATTATCTTCAATTCTACTTCTAGTCATGCTCATTTTTTCATTACCAGGTCTCGCTATGTAATATTTATCCATACTTCTAACTAAGTATAGAAAAAGTATGTTCTACATGACTACTTTACTACTACTGTACCTACTAGTTTGTATACACGTTTCCTTTAGCAAACCATTGGCGCTCAGGTGCAGTAGTGAGGGCATTTCGTGCTTATGGCCTCGTGCAGAACTACAGCGGATCTAAAGTGTAGCTGCATGGCTATCGTACGCGGGAGCCTCTTAGTGTCATGTTAACAAAGGTACGTAAACTAAACTAACTGCTCTCCGGAAGAGTCCGCTTCCCAACGACAAATCTCTTTTTCCGCTTTCCGAGTCCGACTTGTTGGTGGTAAGAGTGCAGACGTGCCTTGTTTTTATTTCTATTCCTTCCCCCCTCACCCAAACCCCTTTCCTCATCCTCCTCCCCCGAGGGCGTAAGCAAATAAATGTACACCCAGAACTAGCCTGGGAATGGCTACTCCGCTTCAGAAAGATGCCATATGTGTATGGCTGGTCCCTGGCTGGTCCCTGGTGTAGCTCACTGTGCTAGAATTTAGGACAGCACCCATTGCTGGTGGTTATGTACGTGAGAAAACACGTCAGCCGAGGGACCTAGAAGTCCCCGTAGGGGTAAGTGCGGGGCACGGACAGGAGAGGGTCCAGGTCAGTGATGATCTCTCCCTGAGTTGTGATGATGAAACAATTTATTTTGGAAAATGATCCCATAGCTTGTTCAATTAGCAGCAGATCGAACAGCGGAAGAGAGGGAAAAAAAAAAAAAGGATGAATGAAAGACATGATGAGATCGGAGCAGGAAATTAGTAACAAGTTGAAAAAGAGGGAGAGATAAAACGAAAGATAAATTTGTTCCCTAGAAACCACACAGTAGATAGGCAAGAAATGAAATACGCAACATAAATGAGCATGAAATGCCAACGTTTCAAACTGGCAATTTTCGACAGTTCGGTCGTCATTTGACGGATACAGTCGAGACGGCTATACCCGTGTACTCGTCCGCTCGGGTATCGGACCAACCAGCTCGGACTTGGGGATCAGAATGCATGGTCAATCAATTGACCCTCGACAGAATAACTGGACACTATAACTGTGACTGGCATTCCCCAACCAAAGATTTCAGAGGGCTCAAGATGCATATGTTGCGGCCATCGAGTTTCACCCCATCGCACTCCTGCCACATCTCAGTTTCTTGTTTGTCTTGGCAGACGACGAGGTCGTTGACGGGGAAATTGCTGAGCGCTTGCGTCTGAGTGCAAGATTATCTGCTTGATTCGACTGTCAAGCTCAATCATGGCTTGGCGCCCACAATTTTCTCATTCTCTCTCTCTCTCGGAGCCTTGAGCCTGAAGGTGGTGTAGGCATAGGAACGGCTATTTGACGAGCGCACTACTGTCACTAAGTCTTGCTTCCGTTGGTGGCCGAGTCGTCTGCGCGATAATGATTCCAAAACTGCTCCACGGCTCTTTTGCACGCAGGTTCCTTTTTATAGCGCAAGATGAAGTAGTTGAACAAGGAGAATTCTTTTTGATTGAGCACGTAATCTGGCTCAGCCTTGATACGTTCCCATAGACCGTTGACGGAACCTTCAAGTATAGCCATCGTATCAGCGTCAGGACCAGACTCGGACTCTCTGGCGCGGGCTAAGGCATTTTGCACTTCGGGAGAGGAGGGAAGTTTCGCTGTTCCAGCCATCTGGGGTAATTGCACTTGGAATTTCGAGGCAGATATTCGGTCTCTCGATTTGGATTTTCGTTGAAGGAAGTGTTAGAGAAACGAAGACAGAAGAATCCCGCGGGTACTGCAGAATGCTGGATTGCTCAGGGAGGACAAGCCAGATTAATGAATGAAGAAGAAAGGGGTAGAAATAGAATGATCCCTGAGCTTCTCATCAAATTTTTTTTTGGCGGACTGTCTTTGGCAAGCTCCGACCTTCCCCATTTATCATCGTCTAGGTGGAGTAGGGGGTTTGCTGGGTAATCGTGGATCGAGTCTCTAACAAGGGAGAATAATACTAATGATTCAATCATAGTAAGAATAGCCAAGTAGACTAATACATTTAGAGTAATTCTATGAACATGGAATATTATATTAATGTTGTTAAATGAATGGACGTGCTGGCGCCGGGGGAACATCCATGTTTGAATGTGTTTCCAATTTTACCTTTAATACTACAGGGTTTCTTTCTCTTTCCTCTCTTTTTTTTTTTTCCCATTTTATTTTCTCTTTTAAAAAATAAGAAAAATAAAATAGGTGAAAAAAAAAAAAAAAAAACAAGAAACAAACTTTTCTTTTTCTTTTTACGTTCTCCCGTTTCTCTTTTCTTTTTTCCCCATCAATATTTTTATTTTTAATTATCATCCTCGTTTATTTTATTTTATTTTATTCTGCTATCTTCTTATTTTCCTTACTTGATTTTTTTTCCCACCTTCTCTTGTTTCTTTCGGGACTAACTACTAAAGCCTCCTGGTCTTCCATCCTTTACTATTTATGTCTTTTTCTAATTTGTCCTTCTTCCATCCTCCCATGCCCATGTTACCGCTTTCCCCCCTTCCCTACCTTTTCTCAAAGCATTGGATGGGCTCTTCATGGATTGCGTCTGTTATGCAGGAGTGCCACTTTTGAAAAGTGAGTAGTACTGATCGACTGGTGTCCATTTCAGCCTATCGGATTTGGTTAGGTTTGATAGATCTGATCTTGTTCCGAGTCCTCGTGCCTTGTGATAGAGCCGGGGAGAAAGGAAAACAAAAAAACCAAGAAAAGAAGAAAAAAAAAGTAAAAGAATAATATCTTTATTGTGCAAAGATCTCAGTTGATGTACTTAATTCCGGAAGTTGTCTGGAGCACGTCGAACCGTAGTGTATGTATCTAGCTAGATACCTCAGGAAAGGTGAGAGAAGCAGCAGTGGTGGGGATATTATTTCTCTCGGTCACCCTTTTTCCACCTGTCCCTTCTTCTCTCCTCGCGTTCACCCTCTTTAATTTCCCTTCCATTTGCTCTGATTTGTATGGCCATGTGGCAGGTGGGGTTTCGTACGGGCTCACCCGCTGTAGCAGCTTCTAGTATTGAGCCCTTGGCGTAACGGTTTTTCTCGCGATGGGAAAAGTGTCAGATTCGGGCTCCACGGTAGGGTAAAACTGGTAGGGTTGCGAACCAGGCCGAAACGAGCGGCTGCCGCTGGTTGGTTGTCACTAGTCGAGATTGGGAACTGGTTACGTACGGATCGGTGGTAGTCGTCCGGTAACTACGGGTAATCCGTCTAGGAACAGCCGGCGCTTGCACAAATCCAGCAACTGAGTGTATTACTGTTCCGTGGATGGACTGGGTCTCGTTACGGAGTAAAATGGGGTTGAAAGTATCTGACTTTGGAGCCATCTTGTCTGAGGTCTACGTGGTTAGCAAGGGGGAAAAAGGAAGAAAAAAAAAAGATAAAAAAACTTAAAAATTTCCCTTAGCTCGGTTCTTCCGATTTCGTTTAGACGTTGTCCAGTAAGAAGAGAATTTTCGTGGTCATGTGTGACTGGCATTTCGGGGATATTGTCCAATTTCACCAATCAAATGGGACTCCGAAGTAAGGTAGATTGAAATAAGGAAATAAAATGTTCAACGTGTATAAATTATCCTTTTCCCTTCTTTTTTCCTCTTTCTTTCTATTTTATTATTCATTTCTATATTTTTCAGATTCTATATTTTTCAGATTCTATTTTTTTTCTTTTCTCATTTTTATTTTTCGTATCATGGGCGATGATTGATAATTGGTGTGGATGTGGATTTGAGAGTTCGGACAGCTTCCACAAATTTCAAATGAGTTCAAACTCTCCGTCAAGTGTGCTCCGGGACATACGTACGACTCGCCCACAAGTCCGTACGGTCCGGTGCATGAGCTGGGTGGGTCTTGGGTGGTTCGCTCCAAAGGCGAATCGGTCGGCGGCGGTATGGAGTATTAGGCTAGGAGGTGAAATGACTCGCATCTCTGAGAGGTTCGCTGTTGGGAAAAGGAAGAAAAGTCAGTGTTTTGCTTCAGATGTACACAATGTGTGCTCGCAACGTATACACCAGCGAGAATGCTTAATCCCTTCAACTCTTCTTGATCCCTTGAATCGTACCACAATCCTCCTGTTGGTTAGAAAATATGCATCAATTTTCCGTCAAGCACTACCTCCTACTACTATGAGGTACTCCGTTGCAATTGCCCATGCAGGCTGGATCCTGCGGCAGCAGCTCACCGTTTCGGCTAGTCACTTCAAGCAGTCGTGCTAGTAGTAGTTGAAAGGATCTCCGTATTCAACTTAATACACCGCTTTATGTCTTACTCTCAACCGAAGTCGTTACTTAGTTCTCAGTAGCCGCTGACGATCTGTCTCTCATTCCCGAGACAAGCGGCCAATAGTGAATGCTTCTGCGCTTAGCCTTTGGGACTAAGTGATAGTAGTGGTACCGAGGGTCTTGCTCTATATATATCCCGCCGCTAGTAAATGGACCCAGTGGCTGCAGTGGGATAACTAGTACCTACCCGGCCCGTTGTATCGCGAAAACAACATTCATATCCAACTAGTTAACATAGGGAAGGCTGAGTAACGGACCCTCGTTCTTCTAAGATTACAACTATCCATCCTTTAGAGCTATGATCGACTTGATCTATCTTTAACCGATCCAACCTTTTTTTTTTTTTTTCTTTTTTTTTCTTTTTCTTATTTCCCTTACTGGGGAAGCAAACCACCATGCCCTGGGTGTGTGTGCGCCTCTGCACTTGATGCCGTGAGCCACCGTTCGTCCTACCCTTTATCCCTGCATTCTGTTTTCTTTTCGAATAGAAGCTATGCGCCAGGGTCACCATACTGACACGTTGACACTGTATCTCCACCTCTGTCAGACCGAGGTATGGCCGTTACAACCGGAAGCATGATGCTCCTTGTCATTGCTGCATAAGCAAGCGCAGTATCCAATGTTATACACGGATATGAATGGTGTATTTCTCCCCTAGCTGGGTCATCCGTCGTTCGGACCAGCCTCTATATCTCATGCCTGCCACTTGTCAAACCTACCCCAGGTGCAGGTTCATGCCTGAAATTCTGAGCCTATGGACTACCGCCAGTGTCTGGTCAAACATTCTATGACGAGAGGAGTGGACTTTCCTGCCCATTCTGCGTAAATTCCTCCCGGTAACCGACTGTATGCACGGAGTGTCCATACCCACAGTGAATCAGTGGTGACAACAAGGGCACTGCATCTCGACAACTCATTCCAAAGGCTAAGTTTGATTCTGATGGGCGACTTCTTCTAGGATGGCTCAGCTAGCCAACCCCCTTGCCGCTGACGAACGGAAGTGCCTTGGTGAGCGTCGAGACTAGTTGACCAAGCCTGAGGGTTACGCGCCAAAACCCAGGGATTATGAGTAGGGCCATCGGTGCATCGGCCCCCATGTTCCCTGCTGTGGGCTCGTTAGAACACCCACTTAGTCTGTTGCAGGCTGTTGGAGTCCAGGGTGACACGCTAACCATAATTTTGATACTCACCTACCAATGACTGCTGATGCAATGTCTTTGGAGAGTGACAGGGCAGCTCGGTCAGAGGTTCGTAGAGTGAGAGCTCCTGGAAGGGCACGATTCCTACGTATAGAGTGGTAACAACGTGTAAGCAGTAGGCAGGTATTTATTTGACTTTGGACCACCAGAATACCTGTGCAATTACATTATGAAACTCAGGAATGATACCTCTTATGGAGCAGCGAAGTGACTGGCTGCTAAAGTAGTTATCTGCCCATCTATACATAGTTAGCTAGTACTGAAATAGTCAAAGCACGCTTAACTTTACTACGGATACAAACATGACTAATCCGCATCTAGTTCCCCGCGCTCTTTGGCAAAGAAATCTTTCCACACACATTCGTCGAATCGCTTGAGGATACTGAATATTCCTTTGCCGAGCTTGCATTGTTTTCGCGTTGTTGCTAATATTGTCGTGCCGATCCCTGATCAGAAGTCATCGTGACAAAATGGTATACTATTACACGTCCAAGGTCGTTGACCCCTCGGCTTTCATCTATGTTGGGAAAGATAAATTTGAGAGTACGACGACCATGTTCTAGTCTGAGAACATGTGCAGAGTCTGACGATTTTTGTGGGCAGATGAGGACCTTATAAAACATGGGTTGGAGAAGGACGTCTGGTACCGTCACCCTTGCGCCGTCGCCGACTACCTTTCGCAAACAGCGTGCTGACGCTTGCATCTGGGTGTTAACCTTGTAGGGTTTGTTCACCACCCTGTTGTGCCAGAGATGCAAGAATCTAACCGGAGCTGATGCTACATCCAGTTCCACGTCGATAACTTGTCCAGTGCCCACGTATATCTCCGCCTCCGGGAAGGTGAAACATGGGACAACATCCCGCAGCAGCTGCTAGAAGATTGTGCACAGCTTACCAAAGCGAATTCGATCGAAGGTTAGCAATGACGACTCAGCAGCCGAAACCACCTACGAGAGGGGAACTAAGTCGCAGAGCAGGCAACAAGAAGGACAATATAACCGTGATCTATACGCCATGGTCGAATCTTATGAAGGATGGATCTATGGCGACCGGCCAAGTCTCTTTCCACAATCCTAAAATGGTCCGCAAGGTCCTTGTCCGACAACGGGAAAACCCAATTGTCAACCGATTGAACAAGACGCGTATCGAAAAGTACCCTGATCTCAAGGCGGAGAAGGATGAATATCTAAAGATGAAGCAGAAAGAGGAACGTAAGGTAAGAGAGGAGCAGCGATCGAGGGAAAAACAGGAACGGAGGGAACGAGAACAGTTGAAGTGGCAGAAAACTCATGCCTATGATGACCTGATGAGCGAGGAGAATGTTCAGGCGAGCAACAATCAGGACCGAGATCCTGATTTCCTCGATGACTTTATGTGATAGCAAGAGGGTGAGTGCAGATCGGTCATTAGAGGAACAAGCCGAAAACTCGGATTTCCATGGGCAGTTGCTTCAGAGCTATGAATCGCAACAACGTCGTGACATATTGTCGAGAGAAGTCCCAAGGCAGTTGCGACTTGTGCGATCGATGGACACCCTGGGCATATCATCAGGCGTAGTGGTTGGGGTTAATATGCGGTGACCTGACTGAATGGAGGACCCTACAATAGTCTGGAAAGATTCATGAAGTCATATGCTAGAATACACGAAATATTTCACGCAAGAAGCTGCTCGATATGGCATGATATACTTTGTAGTGGTTGAAGTTTGCGGCCTATCCCGTAAGGCGTCGTGGAGGTGGTTCTGCGTACCTAAGCGAGAGCTGCGGACGGCGGAAGCAATCTCCCTGCGCTAGCGATGTTGACAGCTATGGCCCCTACCTCATAACGACACGCAAGCCCGTCCGGCGCAGTGACCATCGCAGCAGCCCTAGAACGAAACGCTTTCTCCTAGAAAGTCGGAAGAAGAAAAATGCCCGAAGGTCCGTTTGTTGATCGCGCCTCCCTACGTTTTCCCTAATTTCCGACGTTCATTCGTGCTCACGATTGACCATCGTCAACCAGGCGCAAAACAGAAGAACAAGAAGAAGAACAAGGGGGCCGCTAAGCCCAAGGAATCAGATGAACGCCCTGAAATTGGTTCTAATAAGGAAGCACACGAGACGTCGGCGGCCATGCAAAACACTGTAAGGACTCCCGCATAAACATAGTATCGAAAGCCTGCGGGCACTAAATCTGGATCATGAGATGTGCAGGGTAATATAAACACGGAGAAGAACGTCGAAAATACAGATGACGAAGTTGCCGGAAATGAAAATGGGATTGATTCAACTATCGGCTCGACAAAGGAGGCTACGGGGGATCCGGAGTCCTCCGTCGCTCACGATACGGCTGGACCCGAGGAGAACGCGAATAAGTCCGCCGGTCCTGATATTCAGCAATCAAACGAACGGCTCGAGGCACTTGTGAGAGATCGTGATACGTTACGCGCAGAGGTGACCGATATGCGGAAATCGTTGGAGGAAATACAAACCAAACACCAGGCAGACATGGAAGCTCTGCAAGAGAGACTAGATGACGCCGAGAGCAAGAAGGAGCATGCGGAAACGCAGTTTCAGAAACTCCTGGAAAGGGTGAATACGATCAAGTCCCAGCTTGGAGAGAGACTACGGGAAGACGCTGTATGTTCTACTGCCTCAAGTCGAACCTCCGTCCACTCTTCACTAAACCTCGGATAGGAAGAAATTGCGCAAGCGAGATCGAGAATCGAAGAGCTTGAAGAGCAGAATTCGACCTTACAGGAGGAAACCCAACACAAGTCTACTGAATTAGAGCAACTATCGCAAGCAAATAGCGAGATGTCGAAAGAGCTTTCAACATTGCGGGACCGCACAAGTCTATCACAACAAAATTGGCTCAAGGAGAAAGAGGAATTGCTTGAACAGGAGAATTACCTACAATCCGAGTTTGAGCAGGCTAAAGAGGCCATGCATAACTGGGAAGTGCTGGCAATGGAGGAGCGGTCAGTCAGAGAAAGCTTGGGGGAGAAAGTCGTAGATCTTGAGGAACAGCTTGCTAGCGTGAAGGATGCTTACGAGAAGACTGCTGCCGAACGTGATTCCCAGTTGGCCACTGTGGATGGGCTGCAGCGTGCGCTACAAGAGATCCAGACAGGTGAGAGCATAACGGTGTGCAAATGACGACTGCAGATGCTTACGAGGCAATAGCACGTAAAAAGGAACTCCGTGAGCTTGTAGAAAGCTCCGATGCTCAGCTAGATGAGTTGAAGCAGGCGCTTCAAGGCGCAGAGGAGAAAGCCTCGAAGGCCGACAAGGCTCTCCAGGATGCCCAAACAGAGCTTGAGCGAGTACGGCCGTTTGAGAAAGAGGTCAAGGAGAAGAACCTCTTGATTGGGAAGCTCCGACATGAAGCAGTAACGCTGAACGACCACCTGACAAAGGCCCTGCGGTTCCTTAAGAAAGGCAAGCCAGAGGATAATGTTGACCGGTATGTCGGACTTTCACAAATGAGTCCAGATCTTCCGAAGAACACTGCTTACAAGCTCCTATAGTCATATTGTCACAAACCACTTGTTGCATTTCCTTGCTCTCGACCGGTCAGATCCCAAAAAATTTCAGATCCTGCAGCTTATTGCCGCCCTCCTAGGCTGGTCTGATGGTGAGCGAACCACACCGGCGCCTGATATAGTGCCACATATACAGTAATGCTGACAATACACAATAGAGCAACGTGAGCAGGCAGGTCTTGCGCGTCCAGGGGCGTCTAGCACCTCTAGCAAATTGAGGGTGCCGAGCACTCCCGTCCACCGCACGCCAAGCAGCCAGACTTTGGCAACGGAATTCCTGGATAATGGGAACTCCAGCAAAGAGTCGCTAGCGGAGCTGTGGTCCAATTTTTTGGAGCAGGAGTCGCAGAGTGCCGAGCACTTACCACCAAAACCGTGAAATAGAGACACTGTGGCTGCTGATCACTGCTGCTCAAAACTCGACCGACCCTAAGTAGAATCCGGGCAGGTGCGGGTGTTTTCTTTGATAGGTTGTACGATAAGCAGGCTCTTATCAGAATATGTATTCGCCATCGCCTTGTCCTAACTTTTTTTATTATATCTTTTCCTAAACCGGCTGGCGCCCCCCCACCGCCTCTGGTTCTGCCGTAACGGTGCCACCCAAAGTAACGGCAAAGCACACCTCCGGCTTCCCATACACATACAATTAATTCATGCATTCTTGCCTGTTGAGGCACCGTGTTCTTTCCTTTTCGAAGATTATTCGTACGCCTTCAGCAGTCCGCTCCTCAGTGTTGACAATGGCTACCAGTGCTGGTGCGTCTTCTCGTGTCAGGAACGGTTGACTCAATCAATATCCTGACCATGACTCCCAATCTAGTGCACAAGTTCCGTCCGGTGGTGGTGTCCGGCCCCTCAGGTACAGGAAAATCGACTCTGCTGAAGCGACTATTTGCGGAGATTCCTGATCGCTTCGGCTTTTCCATCTCGCGTTCGTTCAACCTCCCCTGATTGTCACCCCGTCAGCACGAACGCACTGTAATCTGACCTGGTGTTTTGCGACAATAGATACCACTCGTGCTCCTAGGCCGGGTGAGCAGGATGGCCGCGAATACTATTTCACGACAAAGGAGGACTTCTTAGATCTTGTGAGCAAGAACGGCTTCATCGAGCATGCGCAGTTCGGCGGAAACTACTACGGCACTAGTGTGCAAGCGGTCAAGAACATTGCGGAGCAGGGCCGGATCTGTATCCTTGATATTGAGATGGAGGTAAGAATCCGTTTATTCTTGCCGGCCAAAGTGATGCCGCGATGCATAGTGTAGACGTTCAGAGAAGATGCTAATAGTATTCTACTGGAATAGGGAGTCAAGCAGGTGAAGCGTACCGATCTTAACGCCCGTTTCCTGTTCCTGGCGCCCCCCTCGGTGGAGGAGCTGGAGAAGAGATTGCGCGGGAGAGGCACGGAGACTGAGGAGAGCCTGACCAAGCGTCTCGCACAAGCCAAGAACGAGCTCGAATATGCCAAGGACCCGCGGGCTCACGATAAGATCGTTGTTAATGACGATTTGGAGAAGGCATATACGGAGTTGAGGGATTGGATTGTTGACGGTGGAAACTTCGGTGCGTCGCAATAGTCGGTTACAGACAGCCTGATGCTGCAGTGGCCATTGCGCGTTTGATAAGTATGAAGTTTTAGACCATGTGTTTCCCATAGATTTCACTGTCCGAAGAACAGTAATGACTCATTGTTTGGAACCAGCTATATTCTCCTGGCGATGCGCAATTAAGGGAATTAAGTACAGGAAATGACGAGACAACGCTTAGCGCTTTCGTTGCTAGCTCTTTTCGACCTGGAATAACCAATTCATATGAATCAAAGCAAGACGAATACCTCTCATTCAAGGGTGGAGAGGGTAGGATGAACACTAATACGATAAGGAAAAGCCTGAAGTTAAAGAGGATATCTGTAAGAACATGCCGATAAGAAGGTGGTGCAGTAAAAACAAAACATGGAAAGAAAAGCGACCCTCAAGACTGCATATCTGGGCCTTTGATTGGTCGCGGATACATGGCAATGGTTCGTTTCAAACGGTCGCTCCACGGGACCACCGCCATCAACTGATCCCCTCAGCCAAATTAGTAACCGTTCATAGTCATGCGTTGCGAGTTGCGGCTGAGTTCTCTGTCCGCCGAAGGACTGATGGGACGGCTGCTACCGGGGTGGCTTCCAGCGGCACTGCTTTCCTTCAGTGCCAGCAGCTGCTTGGCACGGAAGGTCTCATAGTGGATTTGGCTGGTCGTCTCGATAAGGTCCTGCAGATGAGTGCGAGTGAGGAAGTTCCTCAGGTAGACGAATTCACAGTGGTTCTCATCCTCCACGTTGATAACACCCCAGCGGTTTTGACGTCCGCGAACCTGCTGGCCATTGACGACGATGGTGCGTTCGCTACCCACAACAGCAAAAGGAATGATGTCCTGGACCGGCGTTAGAGGCAGAGATAAGTTGAATGCTGTGCAATAATGATTCGCGTACCTTGATCTGGACGTTGACGGCACGCTCTTCATCATCAAGTTCGTCATTGTCGTAGGGGTACATCTTCAAGTTGTGGAAGGCAAACTCTTCCTTGATTCTCTCCTTGAAAGCCTGACGCTCTTCGAGGGTAAGGGAGTCGGCCTTGGCGATGACGGGAACAACGTTGACAACGTCCGACAGCTTCTTGAGCACAACGATATCAATGGGCTTGAGACTATATGAAAGTAGAGTCGGTTAGCCCCGGGGGAGTGATTTTCGGTGACAAAAGCTCGATAGACTTACGCATGGCCGGACGGCTGGATGAAGAACAGACAACAGTGAATACGGGTATCCTGGATATACCGGTCACGCTGAGCGGTAAGCTCCTTGCGGAGGTATGCGGAGTGCTGATCCTTGATGTATTTCACGATAGGATCCCAGCTAGTAGTACATTAGCTCGGCTACAGATATTGCGGGTTAATGTCTATTACCATCTGTCGTTGTTGACCTGGTCACCGTATCCAGGAGTGTCAACGATGTTGAGACGCAGACGCACGCCGTTCTCCTCAATGACTAAAGACGAGGCGGTTAGCTCTGCCAGGAGTGAAGCGGCAATGGCGTAGAGGTCATACTATGCGAAACGGTCTGGATTTCGGTGGTCGAGCGGACAGGTTCGTTGGGGGTCATGCGACCCTTGGAGTCGATAAGGTGCGAAGCAAAGATGGTGTTGATCAAAGTGGACTTGCCCAGACCCGTCTGGCCTATTTCGTCCATGTTAGCTGGGAGGGAAGGGGCTCTCTTTTCTCGGACATGACAGGTGAAAGAGTCGACTCACCAACGCACATGACATTGAACTGGAATCCACGTTTCAACAGCTTGCGCTCGATCTGGGAGGTGATGCTGTCGAAACCGACGTGGCTGCGAGGGAAGACCGTCGCGGGATTGGTGGAAGACGAATTGGCTGCGGCTGCCATTTTGAAGGACGCTTGAAGATGATAACGAGAGAGGGATTAAGAGCAAACGGGGGATGGTATATCTATCAGTCGACGGGCGTCCCAAGGGGTGGGGAGATGGTTGGTTAGAGAGGGAGAGCGAGACGGGGGGGAGTAAGTAGCGAGAGGGAAGGGTGAAAATGAAGACTAGGTAAACAAATGGGGAGATTGGAGAGGAATTGACAGCGAAAGAAGAAAAAAAAAGAGGGGGGCAGCCCACCAAGTAGTAGTAAGGAAGTAGTAGATCGAGGAGAACAAGAGCAACGGCGATGCCCAAGCGTTTTCGAGCGAGGGAGGGAGTGGAAGCAGAACAACCGGGGGCCCCTTAAAGCTGCGTTGCTCTGGCCATCCAACCCAAAAGCGGTGGTTGCGACTCAGGGGGCCCGCTATTCCCCCAACGGATTAGCGTGTCTCCAGACCCCAAATCGGTGGAAAAGCTTCAGAATTATTCGATTTTATGCCGCCGCCTTGCCAGCCATTTCGCCCAATTCTTTCCTCCCCAATCTGAGCTCCAATTCCTGTCTCAGCTCTTATCGGCACCTCCCGAATTCTGGCTCTACAACTCCTTCCCTCCACCATGTCCGCCCCCATGCTCTCGCGACGCCTCCTGTTCACGGAAACCGTGTCCTCCGCCGCCGCCGTAGGACGGTTGTCTCGTTTCGCTATCAATGCCTCCGCCTGGTCTCCCAACTGGCTTAAGCCCGCCGCCATTTCCTTGAGCATCCCCGGGATCATGGAGGGCATTTGGGACTCTGTTCTCCGTGCTGTCCCCAAGAAGAAGACTTCTCACATGAAGAAGCGTCATCGACAAATGGCTGGCAAGGCTTTGAAGGACGTGAAGAGTCTCAGCACATGCTCCGGATGTGGCCAGGTGAAGCGCTCGCACGTCCTGTGCCCCCACTGCGTCGAAAGTAGGTGCAAAATCTCTGCGATCTCGTTTCCATCAAGCCTTTTTTCAGCGACTGATCGTGATTTATCCTTCAGGTGTCAAGAAGCAATGGAAGCAAACTCAGGCGGCTTAAAGAGCGAAAGACGGCGAGATATATGATGAAAAAAAACGGACAGATTTTTGATTTGCATTGGGGGATTGTATTTTTACCTGGTATTTATGAAGTGTAGGATAAATGCTGCATGGCATTCGGCGTCTGGCACAGCCTGAGGGTTATCTATATTAGTGTTGTTATTTCTATATTTTTAAAGTTATACTGTGACCATTTTGTATACTTGTACAATTTGCCAGATATCAATTGAAAAAGAATTTAAATAATTGCATGTCGTGTTATCGCATTGACTCAGTAATTTTAGTAGGGTCGGGCAGAGGATGTCAGTCTTCCATTGAAGGCCCGCTGTAGTGGTGGGTGCCATTGGAAACATGATCTCATTCGGCCGCCAGCCAGTTTGTCCCGCCATGATCATCAACTCGCGTCCCAAACAACATTCGTACTCCTCTCAACAACCATACAGCGTGCTCAAATTCGCCTAGGGCCTACTCTGCCTAGGCATTTAGAGCTCCGGTCTAAGCATGGTAATGTTCTTACATGGGGAGTTATATCGCTGTTGAGGTAGTTTCTAACTTGAGAAACAATTGAGTTTAGTCGAAACAATATCTCTCTTGCGGTTCTGCCGACAATGGTTCGTATACTTTAGATGACTCCCTGCAAACCCTGGCATATACTAATATCATGACCAGCCCACCCCGTTGATATCTTCGCACTGGCCGTGACTGACAAGCAGATCTTGTCGGCCTCGGGTACTTCTTCCCTCAAAGTTCACTCCACTGCAGACCCCGATTTTCCGCTAGTACAGTCTATTGACGGTGCCCATAAAGTCGGGTGCCATCATGTGGTTACTAACGGAAATGGCTCGAGGGCCGTCAGTATTGGCTTTGGCGGTGAGATCATGATTTGGTCTTGCCACGACGGAGTCTGGGCGAAGGATGAGGGAGCGTCTGGTAAATACCCTAGTACTCCACTGTGTCATTCCTGTGTCTGACCATGACCCAGTAAACAAGGCAACACCTGCGGATGTTTGGGCCATCGCTTTGTCCGAAGATGGACAATATCTTGCCGGGGTTACGCAAGATGGCCACATCAAGGTGTGGGATCTGGACACTAATGGCGAGGAAATCCGAGACTATGAAACCAAAGGTAGCTTCGGCACCTGCATAGATTTGGTAGGTGAAGACTCGTCCACTTCTGCCACTTTTGGGGCCTAAACTCATGAATAAACTTTTTAGTCCGCGGATGGCCGCTTCATAGCAAGCGGACACGAAAACGGTAGTGTTTACATTTTCAGTACAGAAAGCGGACGCATGCCATTCAGCCTATCAGGTGCGTACTTTGTTGTGCTAGCTAAGTCCAAATGAAGCAGACAAAAGTGCCGAGTGATTGTCTAACATGTATATACAGGCTTGGTTAAACCTGTACGAGCTGTTGCATTCTCCCCTGGGGGAAAGTTTCTTGCTGCTGCTGGGGATTCCAAGGTGATTGTGCTTTATGACACGTCCTCTGGTGAACAAGTGGCGAGTCTCTCGGGGCACACCGCATGGGTCATGTCGCTTTCGTGGAGCCCCACGGGGGAGTATCTCCTCAGCGGGTAAGTTGCTATGTATATTTTTTATTGAGGATGCTATCTAACATTCGAAAGGTCGTTTGATGGAAAGGTCAAAGTTTGGTCGATAGACACAAGAGCATGTGTGGCCACCCATTCCGAAACAGACAAAGCAATCTGGAGTGTCAAGTGGCTGGCGAAGATTGGGAGATCAGTAGGATTTGCCACGGCTGGTGCAAACAGGAGCATATCATTCTATCGTGAGGCCACTGGTGGTTAGTGCATAGGCCGTGTACGAATCAACCAATGCCTTTGTTGTACGAATTCCTTAGCAGCGAGCTACTTGAGCCACCTTCCTGAGTATGCTGAGACGAAGGAAGCCTCGATAAATGCCTTTTTGCATTGTCTGAACGGAAGCCTTAAGATAGTAGGACCTGATTCCAAAGTGAAGCAAACACTGGTATTGATACATTAATCATTACTTGGTATTTCCAAAGCGGAAGTAGCCTTTATCTCCTCCCTATTTCATAGTATCGACGAACAACTTCCGCATTCTTTTCAAGAACGCACCAAAGTCGCGATCCTCATTGACGATATCGAGCTCCCGTTCGAGAGCCTCCCGATCGAGTTTTGGTCGTGTATGAAATACTGCGTAATCGCGGCTCCCTGTACCGAGTTCGAACCACGCTTCCGCTTCCCAGTCTTTTTCGAGCAGATGGGTGTACACAAACTTTAGTCTATCCTCCCGCCCAGCTCCCTCAATGCGTAAACACAGATAGTCCTGCCAAAAGTCCAACTCCGGCACATTCAGCCGAGCTTGAGCATCCAGATACCTGGCGTGCATCTTCTGCGCCTCCAGCTTCTGGTTGATCGCTTTTTGGGTCTCGTCGATTTGTTGCTTGAGGCGGTCGCGCTTGGCGAGACGGGAGTCACGTTCCAGGGTCACGGAGGAAATGGCGGCGTGCATTTCCGCTGCTTCAGCTGCTTCCTTCTGTAGTGTTTGTTGGTGCGTTTGCGATTTGAGGTCCAGGATCTCGATATCCCTTTGCTTCATGCGTTCATCCTCTGTAGGATTTAAATTAGTCCGATGCTCTAGCGCCATCTCCATAAAGCGATAGCTTACCCTGTAGCTCTGCCAATCCAATCCTGAATTGGTTCCTCTCCTCCAATACCTGCTTGCGGCCTCTCTCGATGAATGCATCAAAGCGAGCAGTAAACTGTGCCATACGATTCCGGAGATCCTCAAACCCAAAGTTGATACTGGGGAGTGAATCCGCCAGGGACGGTGCATCGGCCGACGCAAGAGGCGGGCGCATGCCACTTGTCGAGAGCGACGGATCAAAAGATGAGCTCATAGTGTATCTAACTTGATGCTTTATTGGTGCCGATGTGGTTGTAGTCTGTGAGGAATGCGATGTATGCGATGCGGGGTGATGATGGTTACTTGACTTTGTTTCATGTTCTCGAGCGCGCCGCTAAAGCGCGGTGTTGCGGCGCAACCGCCGGGCTCCAGACTAACGAAAGCTTGGCATCGATCTATCACCCATTTTTTTTTTCTTTTGCCTGGTCTTACCTTCGCGAGATCACCCAATGTTTCATTTACCCTTGCGCATGCATAAATTATGATTTGACAGCTGTCAGAAGCAGTTGCATTTGAGCACACTGCTGGGAGACTCGTCTACCAGTCCGCAAGCTGTGACCAAGACGTTGTACTTTTTGGTTCTCGATATGCTCACGGTTAGAAGGCTAGAGTTAGCGCATATCGCCAGGAGCAGAAACAGACCTGATGGATGAACACTCTGTGGGTGCTCTGCAATATGGGCATTTGGGGAAACCAACGTACAATTCAGAAGCTCACACATGGGTCTTTTCACGAACATTAGCTCCATGTAAGTGGTTTGGAAGATCGACGCGAGCCAGTTCGAAAGACTGACACCTCCTGGAGCTTCATGTATCTCTTACTCCGGAGTGACCAAAATCACGGTTCAATCGTCCCTCACTGCACTGCAGTCTTCCTCAACCGAGAATAAGGGCTTTTTGCCTCGCGTCTACCCCCAGCTTGCAGCTTGCTGGCCTCTAGTCGACAACGAAACCGTCTCTCATGCTATCACTGGCTGCGACATATGTGATCCTTCAGTTTCTACGCTTTTTGATCTAGGATATGCGGTCGATCTCGAAAACAACGATTCGGGGAGCCGAGTTATACCTATCGCCGTCATAGCATCCGGAGAGTGCGGGAACACTATCAGCTTTCGAAAAATCGAAGATGATGTTGTCGAACTCCGACGGAAGACGACTTCCTGGGCGCGTGTTCCTGCAATTGGGCAGACGGAGACCGTTGAGTGGTCGGCGGGAGGGGCTCCTGTCCGTCAAATCTGCTTTGCGCGGACGGTTGAAGATAATGCGACGTGGATGGCAGCTCGTTTGCCCCGCTCGACTACCATCTTCCGACCACAGTATCACCGAACGCCAGTGCCTGTCATAGGATTGCATGGCAGTGACCACCCATTTCCCGACCGTTCTTTTAAGTCTCGCCTGGATGCGAACCCATTGGTGGAGATACCAATCCAGCGGACCGGAGGCTTTGCGCATGCGGACGTGACTTTCAACCCCTGGTATCAGAAGCAGTTGGCTATTGTTGATGAACGAGGTCATTGGAGTGTTTGGGAGCTTTCCGGCCGACACAGGCGCAACAAGGGTAATTGGACAGCTATATCCGTCAATTCTGGCTCATTGCCGTGGCTCGATCTTGGAGACGGCCAAGACATCGACGACCACACTCGTCATGATGGATGGGCAGCCATCGAATGGGTTGGTGATGTTAACAGCTTTGTCGTCTCTGATAGACGCTGCCCAATGCTCTATCGTATGGAAAGCGGCGAGGTCTTTCCATATACAATTGAGCTTGGCCTTAAGCGAAGATCGGAGTGGATTCTGGACATCAAGAGAAGTTCTGCCAACGTGTCGCATGTTTTCATCTTGACGACAACTCGAATTTTCTGGCTGGATTTAACATCATGCCCTGAACCGAGCAGTGCAACAGACAAAGACTCACGACCGCCTCTGCTACCCCGTTTGTCCTGGCGCCATTTCCGTGATCCCGAGGACACCACATTGCGACTGACTCCTCTACTTGTGCGGGAAGGTAGCTTGATGACCGCAGACCTCTCCCTTTCATAGCACATGTACTGATAATCTCAATAGACTTTTACCTCGTTCTATACTCGCGCCTCAACAATATTGCGCTAACCTTGCAATGCCCATCTTCGTCCCTGGATGAAGCGGATGTGACAACGATACCAGACCCCTATTTACTGGAGATCCCGTTGTCATCTCCTGATACTGAAGGCTCACGACACTCCAACACGCAGCTGACAACACTGGTCTTCAAGGAAATTACGCATTTGCCATCGTCAGTCGGTAAACAATATCACGACCCACATGTTAGACTCATAAAGCTTTTTGCGGTAGACTCAGGTCTTACTGTCCACGAATCAATTTACACGGCACCCTCCCGTGATGACTCTCGGGATGATGAACCAGCCGCACGAGATGTCTTACGAGTGAAGAAAAGGCATCAAGGAGTGCAAAGGTTGCAGTCGGCTTACTTCGAAGATCGATTCGTAGTAGAGGACTGCGAGGAATCCATGCTGGGAAGCGGTATGCTCACAACCGCAGACACGGGGATGTCTAGCATAACGCCACTTGCAATCCCTGAATGGTCTCTCGACTACACCCAAGTCTATGCTGCTGCTACTGGAAGGTTAACGCTGTCATCAAGAGATGACGACCTAGGTAATCAAATCTTTCAAAGGAGTTTTGAGGAGGCTATGCAAGTGCTAAGCGAAATGGCCACTGGTGCCGGGGTGGGCAACGACCAGACATGTCGTACAGGGTAAGTAAATTTTACTGCTATATATAGACTATCTTTTACTGATGTTCTTAGTCTCGAGGCCCTTGGCAGTAGTCCATTACTTGACAGTGTCGAACAGAACTCGCGGAGTCTCCAGGAATTTCTCTCCAGCAACCAGTCAGCTCTCTTAGATTGGAAGGTTGACCGCCAACTGTCCGGCCATTCTAGTCCACTTCTCGTTCGATCGGCGGATTTCATATACGAGGTTTCGGGATTGGACCTTCCTGCAATCTATGATCTGCTTACCAATAACTGGCTGGCTGGCCTGCCTCACGAACTTCCTGGGCGCACAAGATTCACGAAAGAGAAGATCATCCGTGGAGTTGTCGCTGATCTGATTTTGGCTCAAATACGCATAAGAGTTCGGACGCTCTTCGGGATTGATGAATCTGATGACAGCAGGCGGATAAGCCCAGGGGATATTCCATCATCATCGATGATTTCGGCTGATGACCCCTTTAATGTAAGTGCGAGGCGGGTGTTTCAGCGATCGGCCTGGACAGGCAACGGTAGCTTGGATGATCTAGGCAGCGGCACGGCACCGGGAAGCACTCTTGGTCGCGAGGAAGTTGAAGCTGAGAGTCTGCAGGACATGGAACCTACATATGCCAGCCTTTCAGCATATACTACCTTTAGTCGCGAGCGGAATATGCCTCGAAAAGTGGCGAGCATGTTGGGCCATTGGCAACCAGGTGCCGACCCGGCTGGGTACAACTGGCAGAGGGCAATGCAGCTTCAGGGAACCGAGGAGTCGCAATCAGCATCTAAGGCAGCGACACCGAAACGTCGTCAACGCAAGAAGACGCCATCAACCCAAGGAACTACCACTGTGACTAATGGGAATGTATCCGTACCAGCTCTAGCCCCGATGACTTCTGTTACTCCTGATGTGCGGGGGTGGGGAAGTCAACCAGAGCACAATGAGGCGCCTGTTCTCAGACTGCAAAGTAGTCAAGTTATCGAGGACGATGTTCCGATGACACAGATCGAGCGGGGCGCATTTGGTGGCCGAGAAGCTGGGCGAAAGAATGTAATGAAGGCACGCAAAAAGAAGCGCGCGGCCGGTTTTTAAAGCAGCCTTGTTCGGTTATTCATCCAGATTTTTTGAACCTGAGAAGCCCTTTGAAATAACTGGAAGATTAGCATTCAAAGATATTCCGAATAGATTAGATGTACAATTGTAGCGGCTTGATTGGTAAGACAATGAGCGATTTCTGCGTATTTCTTTGCCCCGCCTCGGGATTGCGATATCCAACCCTGGGAAGTATAAGAAGAACGAGACGAGGCTCATTTCATTCTTCAAGCACTCTTTTCCAATTCTTTCCATCTCGTCGTCGATCTACCTACTCGCAGGAACTATCTACTTAATAATAATCGTCGCTGTTTGCTGTGCCAGTTACACGCCGGCATTGTTGCTCAACTCGAAACGCCCATCGATCGACGTTCCCCGTCTGTCTCCACCCCTCCTCTCCTTGCTTCAGCCCCGCCATCGTCATTCTATCTTCTCTATTTACTTATTTGTTCATCCACGCACCACACTCCACTTATCTGCTTTCTCTCTCTCTCTCTCTCTCTCTCTCTCACACACACACACACACACACACACACACACACACACACACACACACACACACACACACACACACACATACACACGCCCCCCGCCAACACCATGTCCGACCACCAATACAAGTTCAACGTCAGCATGAGCTGCGGCGGTTGCTCCGGTGCCGTGGAACGAGTCCTGAAGAAGCTCGAGGGTTTGTTTTTCTTCCCCTTCTTTCCAGGAAATCGTCAAATAGAATACTAAGCAAGTGCACTGAACCGCTTCGCTGACTTTCTCTCCTCCTCCTCCACAGGTGTCAAGTCCTTCGACGTCAACCTGGAATCTCAAACCGCAAACGTCGTCACCGAACCTTCTGTGCCCTACGATACCGTGCTGGCTACGATCAAGAAGACTGGAAAGACGGTCAACAGTGGAGAGGCTGATGGTCAGACTATGAGTGTCTGAGAAAGAAAAGAAAATGAAAGAGTAAAATCAGGAGAATCACATGGAGCCCAAGGGTGGCCTTGGGGAGGTGACGAAGCTTTCGTCCGAAGGGGGCAGTGTGTTATGCATGCATATATTGAAAGAATTGGAAGAGGGGCTACTGCTTTGGGTAGTGTTGCGAGATACCCTGATACCCCTGACCTGCTGCTGCTGCTGTCTGCATGGTTGTATATAGCGCATCTAATTGATTACGTTCGTATCTTTTTTGTGATTGACCTTCATGGGTGATTCATTTGTCTATCCGCTGCCTGCGCAATGTGTCTGCTAACGTTGTGGCTGGTGATGACGACGACTTCTGCGGGTATACGCATAAGAGACGCGAGTACATGTAGTAGTGCTCTACACTCAGAGTAGCTGTGTGCTAAAGCGAGGTAAGCACATCGCTTGTCAGATTTGTTGTTGTTGTTGTTGTTGACACGTGGTCGGGTATCATATCCGCTTGACGCTCAAGCTCAAGATTTATGTACAGCAATGCATATGCGGACATCTACATAGAACGCCATCGACAAACACAACCCGAAGCCTTCTAATCCACAATGACGACAGTCCGACCCTCAGGAACCGTATAGGGAACCCGCTCAACGCGTCTTACATAGGTAGGATAACGTTGTTCTTCCATCCGCAAGCCATCGTGTGGAAGGTCATAGGCTTGCCTGTCCGTTTCGCGTCCGTTAGTAACAAGTTCAAAAATAAGAAGGGGACAGTACGCGCAGCCCCAGCTGCAAGGTCCATACCGTGAAGTGTCCACAGCATCTTCATACCCTCTGACGTAGTGGCGGGCTGTAAAAGGCGGATTAGGTACCCTGTCAGCATAATTGCTTGGACCATGATGATCGGCCACAACATAATCCTGGATAGCGGGTCCTGCCCGGGAATCCAGACAAACACGGCCAACGGGCCTGCTCCATTCTGTGCTACCGGGCGAACTACGCATGTATTGTTCGGTCTGCACCGGAATTCCAGCCGGGAGAGGATGGGGGTGGACTGGGTAGGTTGCAGGTTGAAGACGACGCTGCGCTGGATACTTTGTTGGAACAGGATCCCGCACATCAACAGCACGAACGAAGTCCTCCGCATAGTGTCTTCCCTGAGATGGTTCCTGTGAAGCCAAGGGGTGGTCATATTCTCTGCCGCGACGAGTAGGGTCCTCCAGCTGAGCCACGTCAAGCGGTCTTAAACTGCCAGAGTTATATCTAGGAACCTCATGATAGACACGTCGCTCTCTCAATTCAGTGGGCCGCACAGGAACAAGCCTATCAGTAGCGTTATCCTCAGGAATAGCATATCTTGTACTTGGCACAACTTGAGATTGCCCTGGAGACCTGTACTGGATGGGTAGCCCGGAAGGCACAAAATGAGATGCATGGCCATGTACGTCTTCCAATGGCCTCTGATGCACGGCAGTCTCGGTCCTGGGGCCAGGTGCGGTAGTATAAGTGGAGTATTGCGTTCTTTCCGGGTGACCCTCCGCAACAGGATGAGATCCAACGGGGGCAGCATATCTCCTACGGAAATGAATATCGTCCTGGATTGAAGAGGGTTTCAGGTGAGTATGTCCAGGGGTATCCTGATACCTGCCGCTTGTGTAAGGGAACGCAGCACCAGTGGTGACAACCCTGGCTTGAGTATGACAGAGCCGTTCACGCTCGTAGTGGCCCATACGTCTCCGCTTAGAAGCTTGATCTCGATCAGAAACTTCTGGATCGTGGTGTATCATCTCCTGCCGAGCTGGACGGTGAGGTGTTATTGAGCGAATCGAGAAATCCCCGGAAATCCTTTTGGCAAGGTAATCCAGCTGGCCACTATTGGGGCGTCGGATTTCCATGGGTGTGGCAGTCTCAATAGAAGGTAATGCATGATCCTGTGGCTGTACATTGGTCCTGTGTTGGGACGAAGCCAGAGGTCTTGGGAGGACGGCCGCGTCCCCGGTCATCTCATGAATCTCTCTCGGGCCACTCACAAATACAGGCGCATTTGGCGAGTCTTCTCGCTGATATGAACGCTTCTGCTGTTGAATGACTGGCACCCGCTCCATAGAAACCGCACTTGTTACAGGTGCAATCTCCTTTCTCTGAGCAGGCAGTTCAGGCATACGGTGCAGTTCATACTGCTCGTCCAAAGTTAGCTCGAAGCAGTTCTCTCAGTGTAGGTCATAAAGCACGGCTATGATAAACAAAAATATAGACCTTGGGTGGCTTACCCGTTCCATTACAGAGTCCGCGACCGTCCTACCTATGTTGGTACTGATGGGCCTTGCACTAGACGTAGCAACGGGTGCCAGCGATACACGAGGTCTATGAGTAGACTCTGATTCAAGCCCAACAGGTCCTGGTAATGGCTGTCGAGTGATGATCGGGCCCCGAGAATCGGAGGCATCATGCAGTCTGTGCTGGTTAGTTTCGTTTGCTATGTTTCTATATCGGTTGAGAGCGCGGTCCCAAGCCTGATATCTGCTGAAGCCTCGACGATCAATCTTATGTCTTCTGGGGGGCTCTGGAATGTAGCGGAAACCTGGAGGTGCTTCTTCATCCGACGGATCTAACTGGGTATCACGAAGGGCAGGGTTTGCATAATTTAGCGTCCTTGTTTGAAGCTCGTCAGCCTGGGGATTACTGGAAACCACCATCACGCTGTTATCGCGAGTATTAGGTGAGAACGGCTCTCCCTCGACATCACCGTCCTCATCATCCGATATGACAATGACCTCTCGGAAGACGTCCTCCAGAACTGTCTTCCCATTCTCATCGTCTCCTCTCCACTCCACTAATTTTGCAAGGGTGGGCTCTTCGACCACGGTCCGAGCTTCATGAAAGGATGTCGCCTTCAAGAGACGATCGTAGTCAGTGTAAATGTGTCGGATATGTGCCACAACCGCTAATTGAGCCCGACGAGCCAGGGGTAGCTCAACTGCCGTTCCTACTTTTCGCTGGCCCTTAAATCGGTCTCAGCATCTGTCACGTATTCGTATATCATGGTTCCCTCCCATCTATTTCTCCTTTGGCTCGTCACGTACCTTTTGAAAAGCAGTCTTAATGATTTGATTGAGATCATTATCGGGAATGTTGGGGAATAGGTCTCTCAAGACATCTCTCGCTTCTGTATTAATAGTTGTCTGGGAGACTTCTGAATTAGCTCTTTTGCGGTCGTTCTCACCGCCAACCGTGCGAAAGGGCACCGCTTTCCCAGCGGCCGTGAGATAGAGACCCAGATCCATGCACACTGCTGCGACCGCGGCGCTTGGGAAATGATACCCTATTCGATGTACATGCTGGGAGAGATTGTGGGTGTGCATATGCGGCGTTGTCTAACCATAGCTATTAGATAAACGAGAACCAAGGACCAAATATGGACACAGCTGTCGGCATACCGTGACAGCGAATACCTTCAGACCATCCTTCCGACATAGTTCCTTACATGCCGTTGTAAGCTGAGGGTTGCCTGCAGGTATGAAGGTGTAACCAGGAGGGGCCTTTGCTTCAAAAGATATCTGTTTTCTTGGTCAAGAGTGCCCGTGAGAAACTGATAACACAACAACATACGACACTTCGAAGTTTTTTCTTCTCCTGAGTAACAGATTCCAGAATCACTCTATGTTTTCGAGCATTTCTCTTGACGATCCTGCTCGGGGCTCGCCTGGCAAGGACCGAGGGAGGTCTCCGAGATACTCGGGCCATGCTGACAATGTAGAACCTTCCCGAGTAGCTACAGAAGACAAGCCTTCATTTTACCGGTACCGGTTCAGATACACACACTGCATGGAATGAAGCCGTGGAGGCCTGGATCATTCATCGAGAGCGAATGGTTAGACAGACGCGTCGATAGACAGCTAGTAGTCACACGGGTGTTTTCAAGTTAGTAAGCCATATTCTACACAATGAAAAAGATCCTAAGCATGAACCGCAGTCCCAGAAAGTCAAGAATATGGACTAAACTGGAACAAGACGATAGTTGTTCAAGTCGGTCTAGCCACCGTTTTGGCCAACAAGATGATGCACTAGCCCTGATACCGTGAAATAAAGGGGGGGGGGGGGGGTGCTTGATGAGACCGAAATGGTAGTTAGCCGTTTCAACGCTGACCTCCCAACTATAGGAGTGTATAGCGAGGCAGAGCAGCAAAGATGGCGGCAGCCGGGGGTAGTATACAAAAGAACCTCCAACAGGCTGGGTTGGGCTGGTGGATGAGGTTTAAAGGGAAAGGTGGGAGAGGGAACGAGAGCGCCGGAGGGCAACCAAACTTAAACCATTTGCGGCCTAACGCGCGGGCGCCGCTGGTGCCTGCCTGATCGGGGCTAGCGTGAGCTACCTCATTCACATCAATTTGCGACCACCAAGCTAAATATTCAATCTTCCTGTCAATATATCTATCACCTTCCACTCTGATTGCCAATAACTGGATCAGAGAAGCAGTTGAGAGGTTCACAGTAATGTTGGCGCATTCTGACATCTTGCTGAGTGGTGAACCAAAAGAATAAGGGTGGTAGGGACAAGGGGAATTATTAGTATCAGTTGCCTGTGACCAAGAGGTCTCCTTCTCCCTTTCGCGGCAGGATGATTACACCTACCCAGACTTTAAAGTCTGTGGTGGATCAGAAAACTGTTGTCCATGCCTATCGCCACCTGTATCGCCAGGGCTTGAAGGCTATCAATTATTCTACCCCAGCACGGCATGTTCTTCGGCATAGTCTACGATCCGCCTTTCGTTCATCTTCACCGGAAGAGCTGAACCCGCGGCGCATAGCCAATACTTTACAGTTTCTCCAACGAGCTGCCGACGTTGCAGGCCTTGAGCATAAGATTGTGAAAAATCTGATGATGATGAAGTACTGGGAGCAGCCCCAAGTGAGAAAAGACCACCGCACGTAGGTTACCATTGAACCCCCCTTCAAAGAAGAATTTAGGCCGTGCGGGACTAATTTCAACCTAAGCTTGAGAGGGCTAGGGGTCGATCAAAGGGATCCTATATTGATGCAGGATACAATGCGGCAATTTAACCTAACCTTGTCACTCCTCAATGACAGCCTAGATATTTGCCTGAGGTAACCCATAGAGATCATTGATTCCCTGTCGTCTGCATCGAGTGTATGGGGTCACTGCTTTCGTCGGACATTGAATAAATACAGTCCCCCCGAAATAGTAGGACAACGCATATCTTCCACTTCAACTCTCACGAGGCAGGACATGACGCTATCTGAGTGTC